GATTCACTTCAATCTTGAAAAACTTACTTTTTTCTCATAATTTTTTGTTTACCTTTACAATATGAGAGAAAGTCTTAGTTTTAATATCATAAATTATTTATTTCTTTTTCACATCAGAACATCCATGTTATGTTTTGTTTACTTAATCCAAAAAATTAATCTAGAGATGTCTCTTCAATTTATTTATTTATTCTGTTCTTTCTCTCCCTCATAGAAGCTTTTTTTTCTTCTATTCCAGCTTAAAAATTGACAAACAGAATCAATTCTTGGAATTAAATCATTCTAAACCCTGTTTTAGATTCTAATATTAACATTTATTTTCTCTGATCCAGAACAGAGAGAGGGTGTACGTTCTTTTTCCAGACGGCAGGACTCACCACTGAGGCGACTTCGTCTCCGGCGCCCATGACGGACCTGATGAGCAGAACCACGGCCATGCCAGCGGTGCTCTGAACCGCCTGGATGAGCTCTTCTGCAGGCGGAGAGAAAAACACAAGAATCCAGTTAGATTCAGGTTTGATTTATTTCAAACAGGATTTTAAAAACAAGAAAAAGATCAAAGAGTAGGACAGAGAAAAAAGTGCCAAAAAAACAGAGTAGGAGGAAGTGAAGATTTATTTAATTTAATTTAATTTATCTCAGTTTGATCAAATATATTACCTACCAATATTATTATTATTATTTTTAAAATTTGTACTTAAAACCATGTTACAATATCTAGGTGCTAAAGAGACAACAAATAAATTATATTACACAGACAAAATGATGACAAAATAACTCTGATGACAAGACAGTAAAATCTACGGACAATAATAATCTTAATAGTATTTTCTGACCGTCAGTGAGGATGTGGATGTAGCAGCTCAGCAGGCCGCCCAGCAGCTCTGGCGGCGCCGCCCCAACGGCGCCCTGAGATCTCTGGAGAACCAGCATGGACGTTTTCACCGCAGCCAGGCAGGACTGCATCAGCTGGGCCTGGGCGATGTGGCGCCCTGCAAGACCGCTGAGTGACCAGCAGGGGGCGACAGACGCAGGCAAATGAAAGACCTGCTGTTTTTCTCAGATGGAGAAATGTTGTAAAATACAGGAATTGGCTGCAGAAGTTTAGATTTTTGCATCTTTCCTTCCACACAAGCCTGGCTATTCAGTTTGTGTTACTGTAACCACTTAAGATTTTTTAATACAATATTAAAATACATTAAAAGATGCAACTGAACAAATACCTCAATTCTCGTAAGTAAATAAAGTAACATTTTATTCCTTTAATTTAAGTTTGATCATTTGTAGCATAAGAAGCTTCTGCAGATAAAAAATAAATAAATAACGTGTGAAAAGTTCAGTCCTTTCTGTTCAACTTAACATCAATACACTGTACGGCTGATCTATTGATTATTTTTTGATTTACTGATTAATAATTTGATAACAAAAGAAGCTGAATGGGAGATATTTTTTTCAGTTGAAACTAAAACTGCCACTTGAGATCTGAGTAAGTTATATTTATATTTTTTTTTGTCTTAAACGTACAATGTTTTGTACTATTTGCACAGTTTTACTGCCTTTTTTAGCTTGCATACTCCAGTTAATGATTAATAGATTACTCCATTAGTAGATGGATTTCAATAATTAATTAATGACAGTTAATCAGATTAATCATTTTAATATTCATTTATATTTAATAAATATTGAAATTAAACAAATTGAAGGTAGTTATTTTTTTTGTTATTAAACCAACAACATACTAGTACGAATGCCAGTGAAAAAGCTCCACACCATGATGCCGCCACTACCATGCTTGATTGTTGGTATAGTTTTCAATCTTATGTGGATTAAGGAAAACCAATAATAACACAAACTGGAGCATCCAATTGTTGTTTCTAAACTCCACTCTGGAAAAATATTAGTTCCCATAAATCATTAAAGGATTCAATTTTAATCAATCAGCTGAAAAACACAGAGTTCGTATTCATACCTGTTCTGCTGAAGGTATTTATGTAAAACCTCGCAGATGAATTTTAACACTATCAAAAAAAAACAAAGAGAGACTTTGATTAAAGTTAGTTTTCAAAGACAAAACTTCAAAACTTTTAAACTCAGTGGAAACAAACCTTGAAGGAGCAACTTATTAATGCATCTTTCACCTGAAAAAAAAACAAAACAAAATAAAATGTAAAGTCATTGCTTCCTATTAAAGTGATTTAATAGGCAGAAGTGATTTTTTTTTTTCTTACTTACCAAGATGGAAGCCATCCAGGCAGGCAGCGATGGTGTTTATAGTGTGTGGATCCTGTTCTGAGCACGGAGTGGACAAACAGTCGGACAAACAGGAGGACAGACTGTCCACAGCCCGTCCCTGAAGACACTGAGGCACTGAACTCAAAGCACTGAGGAAAGATACAACAAGGTAAGGTCATTTTATTTATATTACACATTTTCAGCAACAAGGAAATTCAAAGTGCTTTATATAAATTAAAAGGAAATACAAACAAAATAACAAACCAAAGGAAGGAGTAAAAGAAGAAAAATAATCTGATACAGCCTAAACATTTTTCACATTTCTTTATCCCAAGAAACTCCATGAGAAAATCTGAAAAAGTTCAAGAAATGTGAAATTAAAAGCGAGTTCCACCTGGCTGCAGCCCGTCTCAGGGGGTTCTTTGCCTCCACAGAGGTGTAGATTAGCGATAGGGCGTTCAAACACGCATCCAGTGCTTCACCACCGTCTTCCTCACTCAGAGCCTCCAACTGGGATCCAGCCTAATGGAGCATGAACACAAGCACATCACAACATCCATCTGAATACGCAGAAACCTTCAGTTGTGACAGAAATGCTATCAAAGATGAGTTGTATATATATATATATATATATATATATATATATATATATATATATATATATATATTAAAGATGAGTTACAAGAATTTTTACTTTTAATCTAACACTTTGAAATTGGGCCTCTATCTCTTCAGAAACTCCTGCTGTTTCTGAAACTCTGCCTTCACAAAGTGATGACAACATGGCTCCTCTACTAAACCCTTTGATATCGATTTTAGCAGCATTTCACTGAGACGTAGCTCCTATAATGAAATGTGCAGTTCCACCAGATATTTGCTAATTGCTGCTGGATAGTCTGAAGGAGCTGAGTGGAAGAGGGTTGGGGAAGCTCTGAAGCTCAGAAACTGCAGCTCAGAGGAGGAATGTCGTTACAACGAAATGACAGTATACCATGATGTAAAGCTCAAAAAGTCGATTTCACATAACACTACATCATAATACACAGACCTTTTTAATCATCTGGATCTGCTGCAAGGCGTCAGTCAGCTGTAAGCAGGTCTGCAGGGTCTGGGCAAGATGTCTGACTCCATCTGCGTCTCCATCCACAGAGAGGGACGCTGGGTGGGGCAAGAAAGGAAGAAAACAAGTGAGCGGATATTCGGGAAAACTCAAAGCTAGAGCATAAAGATTGAAGAAATCTTACCTATGAGCTGGCACAGCTTCTCCTCATCCAATGCTACCGCCTCCACTTTAGTAGTTTTCTTCTTCACCACCATGATTTAATACTAAAATAAGCTGTAACATAGTCAGATGTCTTCACTGGTATGCTGTTAGACATGTTATATACTTTAAAAATCACATAACTACTTCTATAGAAGCACAGAAAGAAACCAAGCTTTGATGCTAAAGTTTACCAACTTTCACAAGCCGTCTGAAAATAAGTCAAAGTTTACATTAAAAAGACATTAAAGACAACGAAAGCTATGAAACTGCAACATAATAACAGTGGCAACTCATAAAATGCGGTTTGATGGGAAAATAAAAGGCATTTACCTCAGTTGTGCATGTGGTCTTCAGCTTTGCTACAGCCGGTGTCTGTACCGGATGAAAATAAAACAGCTTCCGGTAGATTTTCGCAATAAAAGACTCCAACAGCCAAGCTTACAGGAAAATTAGCCATACGATCTTTGTGAATGTTTCAGTTCCTAAATTAAACCCAAAAAGTCAAACAGTGATAAAAACTTTGGCTAAAATTAATTGTAAAGTAAGTGTGCGAAATTAAAAGATTTTATTTTGAAGCTAGATTATTTTTGACCTTTCGTGGACCCCCGCACAGATTTCAGAGGAATGAAGCGGCACGCAAGCAGGGCCGCCATATTGGAAGGGTAAACAGCGATCAGTTAGCATATTAGACTTCATTTTAAAAATACGCATATTTTCATGTATATACCCGTACATAATTTACTGAGTATGTGTATCATAATAAATTTGGTAAATGAAATGTCTTTTATCAAAATCTGTCTATTCCTGTTCCTTTCGATTAATATGTGTACAAAAAAATGGAAGACTGTGGTTATTTTTTCATTAAATTTTGTGGACCCAGCATTGAATGAGTGAAAAGATGAATGAAAAGTATTCTAATACAATCTGTCAGAGTTATTATTATTATTATTATTATTATTATTATTATTATTATTATTATTATTAGCAGCAGCAGCAGCAGTAGAAGTAGTAGTATTAGTACTGGTAGCTGTATTATAACGGTTCTTAAGACATTTGCATCTCTACGTCCCTGCGCTCCGTGTTTTGATTGGTGGATAATCCTTTCAATCATGTAGAATGATGGTGCGTTCACCGAAACCTCGGAAGTTTGAACTCTAATCGTAGAAACCATGTAACCCGTGTCTCGTTGCTACATGGTGGAGTTTTCTGACTGGGACAAAAAGTCAATTAGTAACAGTAGGAAAGTAAGCGTACGATTAATTCAAAACGAAGAATCATACTTCCGACGGACAAAGTGGATTTTTCCGTTTGAAAATCTAAAAAAAAAATCTACATTCAATTTTTTTTTCCAACCAGGAAATGGGAAAATCTGACTTCCAAGTGCAACCGGAATGCAGCATGTAGATCCCACAGCTTGGACAAACGCCTCCCGAGCATCTGATTGGATGCATTTCATAAACGCCCCACCCTCCTTAATAAAAAAAAATCAACCCGTGTCCAACTTTTCCCTGTGAGCTGAAATGAAAAACTTCCCGGAAAAGAGAGAATCCCCCTTATTTTTTCTCATAACTTGGGATTTAATCATCAGACACAATATGGCCGGTGTGAGCACGGCGTGAAGACGCTCTGAAAACGCATCCACATCAGTTTTATAGCAGGTAAGTTGGGGAAAATAAATAAAAATGGCTGGGGTGTTTTATTACAAAGGGAACGTGGGGTTTAGATTTGGAGCTGTTTTAATGCTTCCATATTTATCTATGGGAATGCTTAGAATTTTCTATCATTATCATTTTTATGTTTTGAGTAAGCTAGCTTTAAGTTTCTTTATACTATTTTATTAAATAAGTTAATATAAGAATATGTTCAATAATCACTATATCTGAGTCAGTTCTGGTGGGTTTTATACTCAAAATGGAATTATTCTAGAAAGTTAAAGAGTTTAAACGTTTTTCAGCTTCATCCTCACATTGTCATAAAGGCAAAGAGTAAATTTATACTTCGACTATTAATTAATATTGCTTTTGGAAACTGAAGGATTGATTTTCACTGGCTTGCTAATGTATTCATACCACTTGAACTTAAAAAAAAACTTGTTTAAAAAACATACATCATCAGTGTAATTTATTTGGTTTTATGTGTTTAATTGAGAAGTTGATGTCTGTTTTCAAGAAATAAAAATCCAAAAACGATGCATTTGATGACCGGTCCTTCTTTAATTTGATTTCCCTTTGTAATCAATATTTAATTTCCCTTTCAGTAAAGAATTTTTGAATCTGAAAAAGTTAGTCTTACAACGGATTTGAAAAGGCTTCTGACTTTATGAAAGTTTTCCCACCTGGCAGTCCCGTAGACTCTTTTAAATTTGGGAACAAAGTTGTAAGATTTGTTACATTTTCAGCTGGTTTGGTTCATTTTCACACAAACCAAACCCTTTGAAACCCCTGTTCCCCTCCTCGCCTGTGGTGGCGCTGTACCAAGAACCACAGAAGGAAATGACATAAAGAAGACATTGAGCGCAACTTCCTTCGTCACAAAATATTAACAAAAATTTAGTTGAAAGATTTCTCTTTTGTGTTTGGCAAAAGACCACGAAACATCGCTGGACCGTGTTGTTTGTTTTGATTGTATTTACCCAGAATGCCCGGCGATGTAGTCCACTTCCTTTTTTTGGAGTGCTATGTTTTCTGCTTACATGTATATTATACATTCAAACTGCGCCATTCCTAAATGTAACCTAACAGAGACGTAGATTTGTAAGCGGACCAGAGTTCACTTTTTTTGCCCGCATAAGAGTTCCACACAAAAAATTGACTTTCTGTAAAAGTGAACTCGAGTTTGATTGTAAAGCAGACTAAACAGAACTGGTGTGAATGAACCCTTGGATGACAGGCTAGTCCACCTCATTTGCTTTTCCCATTCGTCTTCAAATTTCTGTTAGAAAGCCGAGAAGAGAGATTCTAGAATAGGGGATTTGATCCTCGACCATTATGACAGTAGAGTAGGGGATTTGATCCTTGACCATTATGACAGTAGAGTAGGGGATTTGATCCTAGACCATTATGACAGTAGAGTAGGGGATTTGATCCTCGACCATTATGATGCTGAAGTAGGGGATTTGATCCTCGACCATTATGACAGTAGAGTAGGGGATTTGATCCTCGACCATTATGACAGTAGAGTAGGGGATTTGATCCTCGACCATTATGACAGTAGAGTAGGGGATTTGATCCTCGACCATTATGATGCTGAAGTAGGGGATTTGATCCTTGACCATTATGACAGTAGAGTAGGGGATTTGATCCTCGAACATTATGACACTAGAGTAGGGGATTTGATCCTCGACCATTATGACGCTGAAGTAGGGGATTTGATCCTAGGCCATTATGACGCTGAAGTAGGGGATTTGATCAATGGAAGATGGTTTGAACTTTCTCCTTCTCTCTCTTTGCTCTGTATTCATGAAGCCTCCTTTTAATCTCTTCTGACATTTGGTGTTCTTCCAGATATTATTTTAACTGCTAATTCTTTGATATGCTAATCAACTGCATAACCATGGCAACAATACATTGTTACCATGTTTAAGCAACAGATCATCTCTAATGTGACAGAGATTTCTTCCCTATTCTCATTTGAAAACAAATTACTTAGCTTGTCTGAACATCCAATTTTCAAGATTCAGTAATGAACTTTAACTAGGTCATTCTAATGCGGGAATATGCTTTAAGTTAAGCCGTTTCATTGTAGCTCTGGCTGTTTAGGGTTGTTGAATCTCCGCCTCAGTCAGGATCTCGGGTTGCCTAGTTTTTATCTCTGTCAATCTCATCAACTTCAACCAAACGTTCCCACATCATGATCCTGCCACCACCGTTAGTTCCCTACTTCATCTGATATTCTCTAAACTCTCAGCTCCAAATGCAGGACTTGATTTGTTTTTGTTCACTTCATCCTGGTGAGGTATGTTGTGTTAAACTCCCTCCTCTTTCAGCCTGTTGTTTTTATTTTTCTCACACGACGGCTCTTTCATTTCTTGCCTCCGTCTGTGTTTACCGCGACCAACCAGCAGCAGAAATAGGGTAGTGGAAAAATCGGTTTTATGGCCTTCATCCACACACTGTGAGATGGAGCTCAGGCTGGTAATGAGAGGTTACAGTTGGAAGAGACAGAAAGCCATCATCTCCGTCAGAGATCCTCCTGCATCTCCGCCGCCCTCCTGGATGCCTGTTTTTCCCAAAGTTTGCAGTGGAAAATGTGACAGAAGTTCGTCCTATAAGGAGTGTTTTGGTCCTGCAAAGTGATGCAAGGCCGATGCCCACAGTGGTTCAGCTGGACACAGACCTGGAAAAGAAATTTAATGAATTTTCCACTTGCACTGCAACAACACAAAGTCTTACCAAGTCTCTTTGGTCTAGTTTCAAGTACAAATAATGTTTTTTAAGGATTAATCTCTTCTCTTTGATACAACATTCAGTATGACTTTGACATCCTAATATTAGTCTTTGTCATTTTTTTCTTAATAAAGTGCCTTTAAAGGCGACTTTTTATTCTTCCTTGAACAGAGTAAGATAGGTTTACTGGCTATACGAAACATCTTCATTGTGTTTTTCTGCACAAAATCATTTCTATACATTGAGATTATCTACGTTGTGCCTATTTTGAGCTCCTTTCAGAATCGCTGTTTTAGGACTCTGTCACTTTAAATCTGAATAAGCCACATATCCCCAACTCAACTTTTACACTCACACGTGAAAATGGCTGAAAACATGCGAAATCATACAACCACATGTTTTTAAAAAGCAGAAGTACCACAGAGAGTTCAGCCATGGTGCAGCGCATAAAGCAGTGAAACTGGCTTACCAAATGTGCTGGAACTCTACTTGGGTTGCTAGGTGACACAGCTGGGGTTGCTAGGTAACAGATCAATGCCTGTAGATTGTGACTTAACAATCGGGATGCTTTTGAAACGAATCGTTTTGTCGCCAACAAAATTGCAAAATTAACTTATTGCCAGAAACTCTGTATTTTTTCAAGCAATAGTCAAGAGATCAACTCTACACTATATTGATGTGAAGTCTAGCTTTTTAAGAAGTTGTTGAAGTTTTTTTTTTCCTTTTATATGTCGATGAAGCGTTCACTAAAGGAATGCTTTCTTATTAACATTTCAGGGGATAGTACTCCAAGGAGAGCCTAGAAATGCTCGGTCAGGAGGAATAATAAGACTTTGTTCTTGCGTCTCTGTTTCTCACTGCTGCTTCTGTCTGTCTGTGTGTTGCTGGAAAGGTTCGGCATCATGGCAGAGGGGGAGGAGGCGATGAGCCAGGAAGACTGGAAGGAAAGGTGCACGGTTCTGGAGGCGCTGCTCGTGAAGTTCAGGGTCCAGATCGTCAAGATCCGGGAGCTCACTGCAGACAAGGTTGGTCCAGGGAAAACCAGGCCTGATGATTGCATTGATGGATCTTTAATGGTTCTACATGGGATGAATGAGGGAGTTTCCACTGACACAGAAGGTTCATTTTGAATTTCTCTGCCTAATGTTTTGAATCATTATCCTGCACAGAGTCACAATGGGGACTAATTTGTTCCCTCTTGTGGCTGAAACCATTAGATTTTAATTACAAAAGATGCCACATAAGATCTGATATCTTACTTAACTTTTCAGTAAGATATTAGAGGTTGTTTTAAGAAAATAATTTCTTAATATTAAAAAAAGTTCCAATGGCAGATTATTTCACTTATATAATGACATTTTTCCCATGTTATCAGTGAAATAATCTTCCAGTGGAATTGTTTTATCAATATTTGATACTTTTTATATTTCTTTTGTACTTTTATCTGATTCCATGTTGGCTTTTCATTTTTCCAACAGTCGATCCACAGAAAGCTAAGCAGTGATTCAACTCATGCATGTATTGTCTGATGATCTCTGGGAAGGTTTAGCCTCTCATGAGTGCAGGAAGGGATCCGGTGGTGGGTCTGCTGGGTGCAGACCGGCCTCTCTGGGCCGGCCCAAACCGTTCCGTGGCCTAGATCTGAAGCCGCTCCCTGGGGATGCTGATTAGAGCTCTAATGTAAACATCAGTCTGACCGCGGGGCTCCGCCATGCATTGCATGATGGGATTGACCCAGCTCCAGTCAATTACAGATCCCTGCTGGTGCCCCGCTGGACAGCAAAACAAACTCCCACTGAGACTCTAAAAACCCAGATTTGTTGGGTTTGTTCAGCATTTCTCTGCTTCTGCTGATCCAATCATCTAATACGAACAAGTTTGAGGTGTACAGCAATTTATTTTAAGGAATTCTTGCTCTTTTAATGCGTTATTTTATATTTTTTAAGAGCCACTTACGTTAAGAAAGTATTGGACGGAGAAATTATAGCTCAAGAGAAAGGAAACGTTTAAAGAAGATCAGTAATCCTTCAGTTTCTCCTGCAAATGGGAGATCACTGATTTAACTTCCCAGCTCTAGAGTTCAATCCGAGTTCAGCAGACTTCAACTGAAAAGAAACAAAAAAACACATGGGAACCAACAAATGCAACAGAGCCTTTCAGAAATATACACACCTCTTCAATTTTGCACATCTCGACCTGTTACAAACCAAAATTTACTCTGGATTTTAAGCAACAAGGACAAAGTAGATAATAAATGCAGAGTGAAAGAAAATCTGTCCTAAAACCCCAATAAAATAACCACAGATTGTGGTTTCAATGTGGAAAAATGTTAAAAACATCATGGAGTAGAAAAATTTTCCAAGGCATTGTCATATAATTAAAGAGGACCTTTTATGAAAGTTCACATTTTGGATATTTTTGTTCTTCATTCTCAAATGCAGCACAAGCGCTTAAAAAAGGCCACTCAGTCATTTTTTGGCAATAAGTTGAGTTTTTTGTTGTCTGGAAAAGTAGCTGTTTCAAAAACCTCCCAATTATTAAGTCACAATTCCACCTAGCAACCCCAGCTACACCAAGACCAGTTACCTAGCAAACCAAGCGGAACTCCAGCACATTTGGTGAGCTGGTTTTACAATAGCTGGTGGAACAGGCAAGTGTTTTGTTGTTAGCTTACCATCCAGAAACCACTTGCTGCATTTTTGTTGGTTGGTTGTGCAGGAAGCTAAACTTCTGCTTTTCACAGATGCACGGTTGTATAATTGCACTTTTGTTTGAAGCCATTTTTAGGTGTGAGGTTTTACATTGAGTTTGGGGGCGTGGCCATCAGCAGCTTATTTGGATTTAAAGTGAAAAAACGCTTTAAAACGGCTCATAAACTGATCAAATTAAAATCTCATTATTAAGAAATAATTTTGTGAAAAAAATGTAAAGGCTAGACCTAGCCTAACCTGTTGGAAGCATAACTGGTCACCGTTAAGGGGTTTGTTTGCTGTTAGAGAGCATCATATGATCCCTGGGTTTCAGCATATTCCTAATAATCACCTAAGTTGTTTTTTTTTAACAGATTTAGCAGTTATACGTAAAATTAATGGTTTAAACTCAGCATTTAGATTTATTTCTGCAAAATAGTCACCTTGTGTAATCTGCTGAGAAGGTTTTAGAAACAAGTCAGGTATATGTGTGCTTAAAAACCCCCAGATTTTCAAGATTTGGCTTTAGAAAAGTGGAAAAAGAAGTTTTGTGTGAAGCGTGAGCAGCCCAGGGAAGGAAATACCTGCTTTAGTAAATATTATGTGAATGTGTGTCATATACAGGAAGTGAGTTTTCAGGCTGAGGCATTCAGTTATTCTGGGAGCACACGTGTACGAGTGCTGGTCAGTTTATGTCCAAATGGTTTTAATGCTGTTTTTTTTTTAAACAAAAAAATGTAAAATTTCATTGTGCCTGGGCGGGTTGCAGATGTTTGAGAGGGGTGTTGGTTTTGGCCAATGGGTCCTGAGGCAGGAATGAAAGGCCACACATGTTCCTAAACAGACAAGAGAACATGTGTGCCACTTTCACTGGGAGTTAGTTTCATTTTTAACAACATAACTTGATGCTCTTTCATTTTTTTAAGTCACACCTTTGAATGAAGCTTTAGGGGTCCAATTAATCTTTTTGTTATTTTTACAGTTACTTAAGCAGTCTGCTAAAAAAGTTTACATTCTGCTGGTGTTTTTTTTAACCACTCAAACTTATTTTATGCGATATTAGGAATGCATAAAAAACAAAAAAATTAATTATTTTCCAAATTTTAAAAAAAATCTATAACAGCATTCCTTTAGTGAATGTGTGATCATTTGTAGATTCATTCTTTTTTTTTTTTTTGGATGACCAATTAACTGGAAAAAAAAATGTGAAATAGGAAATGTTTTTTACAGAATTTAAACTAGGTGAAGCTAAAGTTTTGCCACTTCAGGAATTCTGAGAGGAAAATATTTACAAATGTTTTTTACATCCTTATTTTTTTCCCCGTTGTTTTTATAGTTTAATCAGTTTTGCAGCGAAACCTAAAACTGCTGCTGCGCAAGTTACTCAGCAAGTTGTTGCTAGGTAACCACAAGGGTCATCTTGCCCAGACCCTGCAGACCTGCTTACAGCTGAATGACGCCTTGCAACAGATCCAGATGATTAAAAGGGTTGATTTATTGTCCAACTGATTGAACTTTAGTGACCGGAACTTACTCTTGCAGTACTACTTATGCAACAATCAGTTCCCAAGAATTAAAATTTCTAGAAGTAAAGTGCTGTATCATACACTAACATTTCAGTTTGTTCTCTTCTTGCTAACATCTGCTTGCGTTTTGTCTGCAGCTTCCCAATTAGCTCAACACAGACACATGTGGTTAATTTACCTTTTTCCAGTCCTCAGCACAAACATTAAGTTCCTGTATCTGTCCTGATCTTTATTTCCTGGTTTTAGGCGCCTGAGCATCATGGTGAGGGTTGGCGAGCATCTAGGCTCTTGGTGAATGTTTATCATGCGCAGCAGCGTGTGGGTCGCAGCCTACAGAAGGAGGCTTTGTGAGCTGGCTGCCTGGTCTGCAGGGTGTAGTTCAGGGAGAGGTTGACCACACTGCGGCAGCTCAGGAATCTCAGGAATTAAACTGGATTTTGGGCCTGAAGGGAGAAATTTACTGTAGATGAGCCCAATGGAGACGGACACGGAGGGAAGATGTTATTCTGGGTGGATGTGCAAGAGCTGAAATGCAGTTTAAATTAATTCATCTTCTTCTCAGCCTGAAGTTAAAGGTGCTCACTTACAAACAGCCAGAAATAACCATACTCCCCATTTCTTTTTGCTGCTTTTCATATAGATTTCGCTGCCTGTTTGTGTCCAGTGATGTGTGGTGGACCCCAGCTGTAATCTCCAGTACACTTGGCCTGTAATTGGTCGGCTGTTTTGTGCCAGATGCTAAATGTGTTTTAAAGAGAGGCATATGTGGTTTGCCGTTTGTGGTGCAGCAGCAAATCTAAATAGGGAAACAGCGTCTCAGTTTGGCTGTCATGGCGGCCGCGTCTGCTTTCACTCAAATCCTCAGGCTGTAAAAGAAAATGTTTGGGTATTTTTTAGTTATCGTTTGGTTTGAATAGGATCGCCTTCCGCGGGAACACCCAGTAGCGGTGTCTGGTGTTAATAATATTAATAATAATAAAATAAACAGCGCTTCGTCTTTTGCTTTCGCCGCTCTCTGCTCACTGTTGCTACGCAACACAACCGAAGTGGAGGTTAACTCGCTAGCTGAAGGCTAGTCCTGTCCGAAATCACAGCTTTCTCTTCCGGTCGTCGATATTCGCGGCCTTTGAAGGGCACTTTCTGCATGGACCGGGTCCTTCGAAGGATGCAGACCCTGATTTCGGACACGGCTATTGAAAGAGATCATTTTGTGTCACTTAAAGTGCGATATAGTAAAATAATTTGCCACTTCGCCTGAACTTCCGGGTTGGAGGCGCAATGAATCCTGAATGGTAGCCCATGAAGGATACACCGGACCCGTCCTTCACATCTGGGGAAAGAAGGACGCATAATTCATTTTGTACATAAAAAATAGATTTTTTTTTTTTTACGTAAAATGGATATGTTTTTTTGTACAGTTTGGTGTTTTTTTTTTTTTTTAGAAAATTTGCAGTTTTGAGTCTTAAAACTACAATTTATAAATTGCTTAATTAGTTGACAATTCTTTCATTGAATTGATTCATCACGATTATTGTTATTATAGCTTTAATTTCCAGTCTTTATGTAATAAGAAATAAAACAATGAATCTGTTGTGATATTTTGTACACTTTGTGTTGGATGGAAATAATTTCAGAACCAGATAAAGAATCAGATCATTTTTGTTCTTTTATTAGTGCTCTTCCTGTTATGAACAACAGTGGACTTTGCATCCATGGTAACTGGGTGGAAACCGCTGGGACGCTGTTTTTAGCCTCAAGGTGTGTGCAGGCAGAGGAGAATGGGATGGCGCCGCTCCAGTTTTCCTTTTGGTTCTGCTGACTTCCAGAGACCCGGTCAGGCCGGAGGCGGACACGCCCGGCCAGGCGACCTCACTGTTTTCACTGCATGACCTTTAACCCGGCATTCCACTCTTATTTTAGGGAACTTCAGGGTGCTTGAAACCCTTTAATATCAGTTAGGTGATTTCAAGATTTGGGAAGTGATTGATTTCTGTATCAAGTCCTTGAAACTGCACAGTTTTGTAATAAACTGAAATCTAACACTCAATAAAAAATGAAAATTTAGAAAACGTTATTGTCAAAACCAAAAAAGTGACAGCAAATTTTTTTTTCTTGTCTTAACGTTAGTTACCAAGATTATTTCTATTAACTTATTTCCAGAAAACATTACAATACATTTGTTTAGAGATTTTTTTGATAAATCTCTTTGTAAATCGATGTCTATTTTGTTTGCATAGACATCACAATCAGTTTTATTTATGGTTTCAGTTGTGTTTGGTTTTATTTCCATTTTATTTATTGGCTGTGGTTGTGTTTTATTTAGAAATTTTAAAATATCTACCGGTTCTCGTCGTAAGTATTCTTTTCAAAATTAAAGTTTACTGGCCTTTTCAAAATTAAAGTTTACTGGCCTTTGAGTGTGTGAACTTTCATGAATGCCATCATCAAACCGTTACTTGAAAATATTCTCAAGCAAGAATATTATCATTTATTGCAAAAATTAGTTGGACAATTTATCACCTTGCAAAATTTAGCTTGGGAGGCCTAAATATGACCTGTATTTAGAGAGAAAGTTTGCTGGCAGGATGAACTTTCACCTTGAATCAGACCTCTGAAGAGCTGCTGTGGAGATTCAGACATTTGGTTCAGGTGTGTTTCAGAAGCAAAGAAGAGCACAGATAATCTGTCAGGATGAAACACGTGCAAAATCCCCCTGTAATCTTTTCTGAATTCATGTGTATTTTCCCATGCGGCAGAAAATCCAAACTGTAAATTTCCGTGCACATTCCTGCGTTTTCCGCCCCTTCATGAATTTGCTGAGGTTTGGGAAAGCTCCCATCAGAAGACACTGAGCTTTGAGCTGAGGAATGCCAGAGGAATGCAGCGCATGAAGTCATGACTCCTTAACTCCAGAGCCGCCCCGTCAGCCCTGAATGGGTCTGTGTACACTGCAAAAAAAAAAATAAAAATCTTACCAAGGAATCTGCCTTCTCATGCAAATTCCTTAGCATACTGGAAATAAGACAAAAATAACTTACAAGTAACTTTTTATCAAGATAGAGGAGCTTTTTCTAAGTCAGTAATTCCTGAATATTGATGAAAAATACTAGATAGATTCATTGGCAGATTAGTTCACTGATATTATGGGAAATGACTTTTTATAAGTGAAATAATCTGCCAATTATATTCAATAAAGTCATAGTTCAATGGAACTACGACTTTATTGTCAATATTCAGGAATTAACTTAAAACAAGTTGTATATCTTGCTGAAAAGCTGCTTGTAAGTTAGTCTAGGTTTATTCCAAGGAATGATAAATGAGTTGTGTTTAATGTCGATTGATATTGATACTTATCAGAATTGATCATTGTTACATCTTTAGTGTTAAATATCTGAAATGCTGACAAGCTGGTGGTGTGATCGTTCCTTTATATCTGCAGTTTCACTCTGTGCCTTTAGGTTTTTTAAGCAGTTATGAGTCACAGTTGTGAAACTTTTGCACCAGTTACTCAACAGGTCGTTGCTAGGTAACCAAAGCATAAGTGAGTTGCTAGGTAACCAAAGAGCGAGTGAGTTGCTAGGTAACCAAAGAGCGAGTTAGTTGCTAGGTAACCAAAGAGCGAGTTAGTTAGTTGATGCCACCAAACTTGCTTGGCTCACCGTAAGACTTTGAATGGATAAAGCTTTTCCTCTGCTTGTATCTCCCAGAATGCTGTGCGGTTCTGAATTAGATGTGTTATCTATTGATATTGATCCATCCATCCATCGTTGAAGATTAAAGATCTTCTGTGATGTTTTGTAGATCCAGCAGCTGGAGACACAGGTGATCGATGCAGAGAAGCGAGCGTTTGCTGCAAACCAGCAGGTGAGGTTTGAAAACCTCTTCCTGTTTGTGGTGACAGCTCTGGGTCTTCACATGTGGTTATGTGCTGCGATCCCAGGTGAAGTGGATGGAGGAGAAGCTGAAGGCAGCAGATGGCCATCTTGGAGACTCTGAGAAGCGTTTGTTTCAGCAGTGCCAGGAGCTGCAGGCCTCGGTGCAGGAGAAGGAGGAAGTGATCTCCCAGCTGGAGCAGCAGCTGGAGGAGCAGGTAGAAACCCGGATCTTCAAACACTCTTTACTGTTTGTTTTCACTCTGTTAAAGCTGCAGCATGAAAGCTTTATAAAAAAAATATTAAGCTCATCTAATTCCTTCCTTGAGCTGCTATTGCCGTCTGAAGACATGAACCGCTCCCTACCAAAAACAACCAATGAGAGGCAGGAGGCGGGTCTTAGCACTGTCAATCAGTCTCATGTTCAGCAACTTACAGGAACACCGTTTATCTGCCATTATCAGTGGCTATGCCAACTAGCATTAGCATTCACAAAAGGCTATATCAGCTGTAGCGTGGCAGAGAGCAGGGCTGTCATGTAAGACATACCTCCTATCTCTGATTGGTTGTTTCTAGTTACCAATAACAGTTCAATTTTTTCTCTACAGATTTTCGGTCTCATACTGTATTGTTTTAACAAATATGTAAAATAATACTATTGTAAAAGTTTCACACTGCAGCTTTAATTTAAACAGAAACAGACTCGACTCCAGGATGCCAAGTCAGTGGAGGAGAAAGCAGCTAAGATCAAGGAGTGGGTGATGCTCAGGTTGTCAGAGGTAAGAATGAGACAAAGCAGTAGTTAAGACTTTATGCTTCAGAGCTAACAATGCGTTTTACTTTAGTTTGAGGTGGAGAACGCAGCATTAAGAGAAACCAACAAGAAGCAGGAAGCCCAGATCTTGGAGTTGCAGAAACAAGTGCTGGGTGAGATGCAACGACTCCTGACTGCCACTGCATGTCCGCTGGTTGCAGATTTTCCTCCTCTTATCTATATTTGTGCTTGCAGCCTTTGAGCAGAGGTGCAAACCTGGGGAGGCGCAGCGTCTCAGCAGCCTCACGTTTGGATGCTTCCAGGTTAGGGGTAAAAACCCCCAGGTCCGAACCGGGCCGGCGCCATGTCAGCGGACCCTCAGCACACAGGAAGAGATGGATACAACGCGTAAGTCTTCACATAGTGGAAACTCTTATTTCTCAATTTATCTAAACAAGCAGGAAGACACAGGCTTGAGAAAGCAGAAAAATGTACATTGAAGGATCATTTATGTTTTTATTTATTATTTAACAACCAAATGAAACCTGAAACCTTTAGAACAGAACTGTGTTGCATAGCATTCCTGCAGAAAATGCCACTCATAACATGGCCGCAATATTGACGTATGGTTGGACAGTTATAGTAATTTTTCTATTTCTGTCCTGCTTTAACTTTTTTAGGACTTTTGGTGCAGTTAATAGGAACATTGGTGTAATGTTACCATAAATTAGAACATCATTAAAAGTAATTTATCTTAGTAATTTAGAAAAAAGTTAAATAACATACCCAGGTGAATTAACTGAGGTCATTTTAATTATTTTCCCTGTCATAAGAAACAAATTGGGTACATATTTAGCTTCAAATCAAATATTTGGGTTGCTAATGTAATATTTAACTTGTGAATTTGATATTTAGTCTGCTAACTAAATGTTTACTTTGTAGCTAAATATTTAGTTAAATTTAAAGAGTTAGTTCATTAACTAAATATCCTACTTGAAGCTAAATATTTGGGTTGCTAGATGGATATATTTAGCCAATAAGCAAAATATTCAGTTTGCTAACTTAAAATGTAGGTTGTTAGATAAATATTTGGGTAGCAAACTAATTAAAAGTAACAAACTAGTAACTATTTGCTGGACAATTCTAAGGTCTCTTCAATGTTTATGTAAGTCAAAACATTTCTGTCTTTAATTGGTGAAATATAGAATTTTTTAAAAGATTATCAGACATGAAATGAAGCATTTGTCTGTAATTAATCTGCAAAATGTATTGTTTATCTGAATAGTGGGAATAAAATCCCACTATTTTGTCAGGAAAATGTTATTTCTCTAGTGTTTATTTGCTTCAGTGAAAGTTTCTGTCTGTTTGGCAGAGACAGGCGGAGACGTCCAGGAACAGAACCAAAGTGGGCTTGGGATTTCTGCTCAGGACAGCAATGCACCAGAGAAAAGTCCTGAAAATGCTTCAGAGGGGGAGGAAGTGTGTGAGGGCAAAGGTTGTGTCTCCGGGTTCAGCCGGCCCTGCAGCGAGAACTACCTGACGGCTTCGGATGACAGCAGCTCTCTGTTTGACGATGACATGCAGCGCGCCGAGCGACCCGTTTTCGGCCTGGTCCAGCTGTCAGACGCAGCGCCGGCAGGCGGTTTGACCGGGGCGGAGGCTAAGCTGGAGGACTGCGCCTCCGAGGAGCTCAATCAGCGATTTCAGTCTCAGAGACTCGACTCCTCATCGTCTTCCAGCGAGCCGACCACGCCCAGCCCCATCCTCACGCCAGCCCTGACGCCCAAGCGACCCAACGCCCCTCGGGACCCAACAGACAACCCGGCTTCCCCCAAACAGCCGCGTCTGAGGACCCCCGCGTCTCTGGTAAAGAAACATCTGAGCCAGCCGCCCGTCAGCAGCGAGGCGGCGCACGGACAAACACGCAACGCGCTCAGCATGCTCCGCCCCCTCCGGCCGCAGGAGACGGACCTGGACCTGGAGGACTGCATGGAGACGGGAAGGGAGACGCCTCCGAGCTCATCGACATCCAACCAAACGTCATCCGAGTCCAGTTCTGAGAGGCCGCATTGTGACGCCGCAGGGCCCTGCAAACCCCCGACTCCTCCACTGCACAGACTCCCATCCTGGGTACGAATGCAAAAACACAAAGTCTTACAGTTTCTGGAGCACAAAAACCTAATTATCAACAAAAAAACATCTTAATGCACTTGAAATAAGACAAAACTAACTTAGGTAGAAGCTTGTTTTAGGTCAATAATTCCTTAATATTGATAAAGAAGTGCTTTCTCTAATTGGCAGATTACTTCACGCATAAGACATTTTGCCCATGTCTTTCTAAAAAGTAACTTGTAAGTGTAACAGTATTATCTGAAAGATTATTTTTGCTATTTTCTCTGCTGTTTGTTCCAGGAGAGCGTCAAGAAATGTCAGTAAATTAATAAAATTGGCTAAACACAGTTACTTTGTGCAGTTTAAGTCACATTTACAAACACCATAAACAAAGTGGTATCTTCAAGAAGTTTTTATCATCGTTTTTATCACAATAGTATCTTAAAATATTACGATTAAATTCAAAGTACAAACCACCCAGCACTACATGTTATAAGTGAAGTAATCTGCTAGTGGGACCAGAATGGTTTAATAGTACAGAGGAATTATTAACCTAAAACCAGCTCCTATGTCTTGCTGAAAAGTTTGTGTCTTGTTTCAAGTTTATGTCTTATTTGTAATAGAAACTAGACAAAGAATAGATTTTGTGTTTTTACAGCGCTGTAAAAATCCAACGCTTGAAAAAGCTTTTTGACGTTTTATGGTCTAAAAGTTGTGTATGTCCCTCACAGGAAAGTCGTATTTATGCTGTTGCTAAATCCGGGATCAGACTGTCTGACACGTCCTGTTCGGGTCATCCTAGCAGAGGTAGGAACCTTTGAGACAAACCCTTCGTTTCTCTTTTGTTCTAACTGAAACTGGGAATTTAATTTATTAAAACGTATGTTTTTTAACCAGCCCAGCCCTACGAAATTATTAAAGCTCATTTAATCTGTTATCTGAATTAGAAAAGTGGTGACATGTTGGGATTGGGATGATTGAAAACGTTGACAGACTCAGGTGTCATCCCTTCAGATCCCTCTCTGCAGGCGTCCTACCCCGCCTTCGTGATGTACACGTCGCTCATCTATAAAAACATGACGGCTCCAGTCTACACCACGCTGAAGGGGGTGAGTGCAGCCGGCTCGACGCTGATGGGCAGCGGAGCAGAGCGGACTCTAACCAGCTGGTTCGTTCGCAGAAAGCCACCTTGCTGAGCAGCATCCCGTTCTCCGACGACTCGTCCAGCTCAGACGATTCCTCCAGTTCAGGAGAGGAAGACGGCTCCATCTGCAGCTCCCACAATTCCTCTGGGTCCAGGAAGGACGGGAGCTCAGGAAGCCCACGCTGCCTCAAGAGAGGTACTGAAGGGTGGTGGGGGTCAGAGGTCAAAGGAGCATCCATCCATCCATCTATCCATCCATTGGTCCATCCAACCATCCATCCATTGGTCCATCCAACCATCCATCCATTGGTCCATCCAACCATCCATCCATCCATCCATCCATCCATCCATCCATCCATCCATTGGTCCATCCAACCATCCATCCATCCATCCATCCATCCATCCATCCATCCATCCATCCATCCATCCATCCATCCATCCATCCATCCATCCATCCATCCATTGGTCCATCCAACCATCCATCCATCCATCCATCCATCCATCATCCATCCCCATCCATCCATCCATCCATCCATCCATCCATCCATCCATCCATCCATCCATCCATCTATCCTTTGGTCAATTCAACCAACCATCCATCCATCCATTTGTCCATTCCACCATCCATCCAACATTCATCCATTGATTCATCCAACATCCATCAACCCACCAAACATCTATTCATTGGTCTCTCCATCCGTCCGTCCATCCATCAATCCGTCCCTCCATCCATCTGTCTGTAGCTTTATCAATTCATTCTTGGTTTTCCATTTGTTCATCGTTCCCTCACTTGTAATTCTCCTGAATGTCCTGCAGCCGTGTCCGTGGCGTCAATAACGTCAGAGAGTGACTATGCCATCCCTCCTGATGCCTATTCCACGGACACAGAGTTCTGCGAACCCGAACAGAAGCTCCCCAAGACCTGCAGCTCAGCCAGCAACAACGGCAAGAGTGTGAGCCGCACTTTCCAGCGCATAGCCTTAAACTGTTCTCAGTGGAGGAAAAATTTACTGTACAATGTTAACGCTGAATACTTGTAGTTCAGTGAGACTTTCTGAGATGTTCTTTTGCAGAATATAGTTGTTTAAAGTGTTGTGTGTTTCAGGAGCCAATGGAAAAGTCAGGCTATCTGCTGAAAATGGTTAAAACGTGGAAGAAAACCTGGAAGAGACGCTGGTTCGTCCTCAAAGATGGAGAACTGCTCTACTATAAGTCACCAGTATGTTAGAACCTCAATATTAATATATTTGAAACATATCTTCCTTTACTATAAGTTTAAGGACCGAGTAGTTTAACTAAAAAATTCCCTTTAATTTCTTCATTAATTTCTTCATTCATGCTAACAGGATGAAGACCAAAACAAAAATAACCGAAACAGAAATGTTTAAAAGCAGCAAAAAAGTTCTCCTATTTGAATGCCTATTACAAAAGGCATTTATAATCACTTCTAAAGGGGTGTCAAATATTTTTAATTGACCAGTTTGCTGTACATTTGGAAGCGTGTGATTGTGTAATAATTGTGGTTAGGACAGGGTTAAACTTGCATTTATTTATTTTGAAGCAGACCTATGAGCTTTATTTTGAAAGTCTAAGATGAATCCAGTTTTATAGACATTTTTCTGGAGCCTTTCAGTGAATTTACACTCTTGTGTTCTTTTAGTTTATGGTTGAAAGCCAACTTGCTGAGTTTTAGCAAGCAGAGACCTAGAAAAGGCTTTGTCACTGCTTCAAAAAAAATGCCATAAAAGGCATCAACATGTAAATTCATTTAGTTAAAGTTTGATTATTGGTGATTCGTTTAAACTTTGATTCGTGTTTCTACTATAATATATGACTGAAAAATGGAGCTTCAAAGAAGACTGACTTTAACTTATTTTGGCAAAATCCCATTGGAGATAATTTTTTTCCTTTTATGAATTTTTAAAATAGAAATCAAACTTAAATATACTCTGGCTTTATCCTTTCAAACTGCTTCTCATCAGAAAATGTTTTGTGTGGCTTTTATTTAACCTAATGCGTCCCCCGAAACCATCATTCCAAAAATATGTTATTGGTGTTATAATCATCTTAAATATCTAAAGTTGACTCTTTCTCCAACAGAGCGACGTGATCAGAAAGCCTCAGGGCCAGATCGAAGTGAACGCGAGCAGCAGCATCACCCGGGGAGACGGCAAGCAAGTTCTTCAGGTATTTGAGTTTAAATGAAACTTCAGTTCTCGACCACCCCATGTGTTAATGTTTCTATGTATTTTATACTTTAGATTATGACGGGGAAGCATGTGTATTACCTGAAAGCGGACTCTCCTAACCTGCTGGAGGAGTGGCTGCGTGTCCTGCAGAGCGTCCTGAGGCTGAAAGCTGCCAGTCCTCTGTTCACTCAGCCAGACATCCGTCCCATCATGAAGGGACTTCTCATCAAGGTCCGTAACTATTTACTCACATACTCCAACACTCTGCATGGAATGAACATATGAAGGATAAGATTTTGTGGCCCTTTTGACTTTTTATTATCAAATTACATCACCCTACAACTGCTTCCTGTCTTCTTTTTTGTTGTTTCTGACAGTAGTAAGTTTTGTTCATTGATAATGTGAATCATGTGATGCAAAAAAATTCTTTTCATTGCAGTTTTGCACAATAAACCAATTCTTATATGATCAATTAAATTGACAGGTTTCTATTAAAGCCAAAATCTTAAATTAATGACCTACAATTAATGTACAAAAGCAGAAGTACAAAAGCGTGGAAAACGTTAATTTTGCATAATGGGTCCGCTTTAAACTTTGTGTCTGTAAAGCTCATGGGATTTTAATGGTAATTTGCAAACAAACTTGTGTGTTTACCAAATTATCTGTTTTTTATGCTAGATTTTAACAAAGGTCTCGTAACTCTTCTATTCCAGGTGAAGCACGGCTACTCGAAGCGGGTCTGGTGCGCTCTGATCGGCAAGACGTTGTACTACTTTCGCACCCAAGAGGACAAGGTTTGCTTCTCCACCACTCGAAACCAGTGTCGTACGCAGACATTTCGGTGGCCTGGGGCGCAAATGCAAAAAAGGGCACCCTGTGGAGAACAGGGAACCACCAGTTTAAACGTATATATATTTGTCTCAGACTCAGTGGGTTGGCTTCACAACCCACACAAATAATATCTTAATATTGATTTCTAAAAAAGCATTGGTTCCACTTTCTATTAAAGCCAAAATAAATAAGACATTTTTCTGATCTTGCAAGTGAAATAATCTGAAACAAACATGAACATCAAGAAATTTTTGAATTAAAACAAGCTGCTGTATTATGCTGAAAAGTTACTTTAAGTTAGTTTTGTCTTGTTTCAAGTTTAATAAGATATTTGCACTAGAAATTAGAATAAAATATTTTGTGTTTTTGTGGTGTATTTGTGTATGTACCTGCACAAGACGTGAAAACGTGGAAATGTATGTCTGTTGTCTTGTGGTCTGACCCAAACTGCGCCTGCTTCCAGTTCCCTTTGGGTCAGATTAAGTTGTGGGAGGCCCGGGTCGAGGAGGTGGACAGGTCAAAAGAGTCGGATGATGAGCTGAAAGCGTGTGGGCGGAGCTTAGAGGCGGCTCCCTTTACCATCGCCGTCCACCCTCAGGAGCAAAGCCCAACATATTTGCTAATCGAGTCACACCATGAAAAGGTCATAGTCTGAAACTCCTCAAAATTTAAGTATTTAAATAGTTTGGAATAAAATGTGAGCTTATGTTCTTATGATGTTAATATGTGTTTGTGTTTTTTATATAGGATTCATGGCTGTACCATCTGTCTGTGGCAGCAGGTACCACTGTGGGTAAAGTTGGCACGGAGTTCGAACAACTGGTGGGAAAACTCTTCCAACTGGACGGAGACGCAAGTGAGCAACTTTTACTAAATGGATTTGAAGTGCAAACGCTACAGTCGCAACATCCCCTCATCATGGGCCTGAATGTTGTTTAAACTATGGGCTTCATTTCATTTTAAAGGGGACCCGATTGCATGTTTTTATACTTCCATTTGGGTCTCTATTGCTTCTGAAAACAATCCAACAACTTAATGAAACCACCCAGCCATCTTTTGTCTAGAAGTTGATGTTTTTTGGTGTCTGGAAAATGAAAGGTTTCAAAAACCTCCCAACAGTTGAGTCACAAGTTACCTTGTAACCCCAGCAGAATTCCGCCTGTTACCTAGCAACTCAAACTGAGTTCCAGCACATTTGGCCAGCTGGTTTTACCGCTATAAGCGCCGTGCACTGGCTGCTGGAAAAGACAAGTGCTTTGTTGTTGACTTACTATCCAGAAACTACTTGATGCAAACATGCTGGTTGTGAAGGAGACTCAACTTATGCTTTTCAAAGATGTACAGTTGTCTGTTAGCAGCAATTTTCACATGCTAGTGTAAATGTGACAAGAGACAAGGAAGCGAAGTACAGTGCAAGGCATTCTGGGTAAAAACAACCAAAACAAACACTATTATCTTGCGCTACTGGAAGAAATGATTAGTGTTCTTTGGTCAGACATTTTGAGAAGGAGGAAGTTGCGGTCAGTGTCTTTTTCCGATGCATTTATGTCATTTCCCTCTGTACTTCTTGGTGCAGCGCCACCACAGGTGAGGAGGGGAGCAGGTTTTTTAAAAGGTTTATTTCACACAGTACAATGCAAAGACAAATCTCACGGACTTAAAATGTAACAAACGTTGCAATTTTCTCTGTTTACTCCACAGATTCTCAGATCTGGAGAAATCCCACGCTGTGTTTCAGGAAGGAGGCTCTCTCTTCTCCTCTCACCACTCTGCCATCACAAGCCCTGCAGACAGAAGCCGTCAAACTCTTCAAGGTACAAACTACACAAACACAAAATCCTGCTGAGTGATTTTTGTCTCGTTTGTTGTGCAAATATCTGCAGACACTTGAAACAAGACAAAACTTACAAGTAACTTATCAACATAATATATGAGAGTTTGTTTTAAGACAATTATTTCATAATATTGATGAAAAAGTTAGTTTACGGTTTACTAAGTGTACTAAGATATTAGCAGGAGCTAGATCAAAAATAGTTGCTAAGATTTTGTGTTTTTGCACTAAAAAAATTTAAACTAATTGTTTGGAAGTTAATGATTTACACATTTTTGTTCAAGCTTCACCACCATAAAAATGTTATTTTCCAACATGTCTGTTGCTCCCAGACCTGTCAGCTTTTCATCAACGTCGCCATCGACGCTCCGGCCATCGACTACCACGTCTCTCTGGCTCAGAGCGCTCTGCAGGTCTGCCTGGCCCATCCGGAGCTTCAGAACGAGTTCTTCTGCCAGCTCATGAAGCAGACCCACATGAAGCAACCGCAAAGCCACGCAGGACCTCTGCAGGTTGGAGCTTTCGCCACAAGATGGCACCAGTTAGGCACTAATTCTGGTACTCTAAGTGAGAGGGAAATAAAGGAAGCAAATGAAAGCTTTTCAGTTTTTGTTTGTCTGATTTAAACTAAGACAGTTTAACTTTTTCACTGAAAATGTTTGATTTCATCGTTTTTGTACCTCTAGAATTTCTTATCAGTCATCAGCAGATGGCAGAAGTCATGGAAACCTTTGGTGTGTTTCAGATTAGATTCCAAAGTATGAACAATAAAAACTCACGGGTGGAATGAATCATCTCCCTTGTGCAGATAAAAACCGGTTCTGTCACACCTACATTCAAAGTTTTGTTCGGATGTTTTGTTCTTATTTCACTAACAAATCCCACGACTCAGTCATGTGACCCAGCTGAATGTGTGAGGTTTCTGCGTTTGTTTATTCGCCCTGCAGGGTTGGCAGTTTCTGGCTCTCTGTGTTGGATTGTTTCTGCCGCGGCATCCTTTCCTCTGGCTGCTCCAGGTTCACCTGAAGAGACACGGAGACTCCAGGTGGGAAAACAGCCGAGACTCCGACACGGAGGCGTGAAAAACCACAAACGGAAGACAAAACATACATTTCAAAATGATTTTCCAAAGCACAAAAACTCAAATACAAGAGAAAAACACTGCAAACAAAATTATCCCAAAAACAGAATCAATTAATTACTGATTAATGATGAATTAAGATTAGCTCAATGATTTCCTTTCTGATCATAATTAGCTTTTTTCATAGTTTTAGTTGTGTTTTTTTTTTTTTTCCACAAAAACTCAATTCATTCCAGGAACTTTATCACTAAATACCTTGTATGGATTTGTTACACACAGATTAATGCTTCAAAGTGTTTATTTCTGCTAATTATGATGAATTTGAATGAAAATATGACATTTAAAATGAGAATCAGCTCAAAAAAAACCCCAGAAATGTAGGTTTATTTAATACCTGCTTAAAAGTTTTTATTTTGAAAAGATACTTTTTAATCTGACAAATGAGATTCATCTGGGCATATTTTGTACTTTATTGAATGACTGTGATCATTGCGCCCGTTGAAGAGCCATTTTGAAAGTAATAATAATAATGTTGAGGAAGTCACATATTGACGCAAAGTTCCTCATGGGGTCAAACATTATAACTTTTTTCACGCACCGCTGCTCTCGTCAGCTGTCCGTGGCTTCCCTTTCTTGCACTTCCATTCAGTGATTAACTGGCAGAACTTGGTTTTAAATGGTTCCCTTCTCATTCTTCACTGTTTATTCCCTCAGATGTCAAACTTTGTGGACTCCTTTTTCCATTCAAAATGCCTGCAAAATTAGTAAAAAATGGAGTGATCCAAAATGTGTACAATAGAAGTTGTGATGTTAGGTTGTTTCATTCGTTATTTAAGCTTCTTCTATCAGCTAAGTTCACTATTGAGAAAGCAAATAAGCTCCAGATTACAGATTATAGAATAGAAATATTATTTTATTTTCCCTGAGTGGAAAAACTCAGGTGCAAAGTAACAGACAGGCTGAAGCACGAAGAGTTACATAAATGTAAAAATCTAAACAAAAACGAGAGACTGCAGTAAGGTCAAAATAATACTGCACATTTATAAAAAATAACACTCATATTCAAAGAAATGTGCAACTGACTCGAACCGAAGAAGGCAATTCAAAAAATGTACTAATGTATCAGGGCCACGCTGAGATAGTAAAGGCAATAAAATTATTATGAGAATAAAGAGAGAATAAAGAGAATCCGATAATAAAGTCATAGTATTATGAGAATAATGTTATAATATTACAAATTTATTTGAGTAATTCTACTACTTTATTCTTATATTATGACTTCTCAAAATATTATGATTTAATCTCATGTTATTAGAACTTTATTTTAGTATTATTATTAATGCTATGACTATTATATATATATATATATAACTTTATGGCTTTTTCTCGTACTACAATGTTATTTTTGCAATATTATGACTTCTTAAAAAAAGAGTCAGAGTTTTTGCTTAAGAAGGATTAATCTCCCTCCCAGAACCGAGGTGGGAAAGTATGCCATCTACTGCCAGCGCTCTCTGGAGCGGACCCAGCAGAAGGGCGAGCGGCAGGCCCGGCCGTCCCGAATGGAGATTCTGTCCATCCTGCTGAGGAATCCGTACCACCACTCTCTGCCTTTCAGCGTCCCCGTCCACTTCCTCAACAACACCTACCAGGTGGGAGCACCGGAGAGTTTGGTTCACTGTCTCAGCAACAACCGGAGCAACTCAGGGTTTCACTCGGATGTATGCCGGTTTATAGGAGTGATATAAGCTTGTTATTTATCCCACTTTGTTTTCCGTTGACCTTTTATGTCTAATGTGGTTTCATATTGACAGTTGAAGTCAAACTTGCATGTAGCATAATTTATAGTATGTGAAAAAGTTAAGTTCATTGGTTCCTTTCCTGAGACGAGAACTTTTTTCAAAGTCCAGGAACCAAAGTCTCTCTGTTTTCCAAACCTCTGTTTCATCATCTGTCTTGTCGTTCGTTCTTGTCTGTTTAGGTTGTGAGCTTTGATGCTTCAACAACTGTGGACGAGTTCCAGAGTCGCCTCAACCAGGACACAGGGATGAGGAAAACCGGACTTTCCGGCTTCAGCCTGTACACAGACGATCCCGCCGGACGGGAACTGGAGCACTGCCTGTCAGGAGGCATCAAGGTGCGTCTTTCAATCGCAGGACGAGTCTGGCTTCCTCCAGCTTAGCACCACAAAAGATCTGCTATTGTTGTAGCAACCTTCCAGAAAACAGCAAAACTGCAGAAACACTGAGATCCTTTAAATCCAAACTAAAAACCCAGCTGCTTCGAGATCAATTAAACACTGATCAACATTTTTGCTGATAGATCTCATCAAAATGTTTGTTACTGTTTTTCCTCAATTGTTGACTGTGTGAAGCTTTTTTAGGCCTAACAGCGACAGCACCTTGAACCGCCTTGTTGCTGAAAATGAAATGCAACAATTAGATCGTCTGATTTAACATGCTAACTCTTGGCTGTGTGGGATTTTTGTTGGCAGATTTGTGACATTCTCTCCAAATGGGAGCAGGCGTCCAAAGAGCAGCACTCTGGGAAGTCTGAAAACACCAGAACCGTTCGTCTTACCTACAAGAACAGGTGCTTTGTTTTATTCCTCAGATCTTCTTTGCTGTGATGTGAAAAATTAAGAACAATTATTAGTAATTTTCTAACCTTTCTGCATTGTCCCTCGCCAGGCTGTACTTCTCTCACCAGATGAGAGGCGAGTCAGAGAGGGAGAGGTTGCTGCTAGCTTACCAGACTAATGAAGCCATCGTAGCTGGACACTTTCCCGTCAACAAGGAACTGGCTCTGGAAATGGCAGCGCTGCTCGCCCAGGTCCGATAAACAGCTCTCACTCGTCGGTTTTAAACGCAGAACTCCAGCTTATCTCATGAAGTAGCACTGAGCCAAAAAAACATTTGGCAAAAGCATTTATTCCTTATGCAGGGGTGTACAAACTTATTGATAAATGGGCCCAAATCATTGAGTCAGAAGGAGACTATGCCCAAAAAAATGTCTTTTTTTAAACCAACTCAACAATAAACTAAGCCTGCAATACTTGAATTAAACAAAAAAGTATTTAGATATGTTGCTCTGACTTTCTACCAGCTTTCAACCTAAAGTGCAAAAAAAAATGAAATTCACTTTTGTTCATTTTGTAGAAAAAATAAATAAATGTAATTTATGCTAAAAAATTTTACAAATATATATATATATATATAAAATATATTGTATATTGTAAAATATATATATATATATGAATCATGATTCATCAATTATTGAAATAATATAAAATATATTTGTAATATATATATATATATTCAAATAAGCAAAGTTTAAATTGTCAGATATTCTGCTCATGCAGTAAAACATTTAAGTCTTTATCTGAGAGGCCAACGCGGGTCTGAAAGTGTAACAACCTGCTGTTTGTTCTCGTTTTCAGGTGGAGTTTGGAGATTTTGAACGGTCCTTGTTTGCCTCCGGATCGGCCCAAAGTAAATCCAATCAGAACTTAAAACAAGTGTTGGAGAGATTCTACCCTAAACATTACCGCAGAACCTCATCTGAGGAGCAACAGAGGTGAAAACACAAAAACAGTTTGGTTTTCATCCTTGCATACGCTCTCAGGTCTGATTTTAAGGCCTTATGATGATATTTGTGTCGTTCTAGGCAATTGATGCAGCGTCTGTCGGCCCGCTGGGTCTCCCTCAAGGGGCGCGGTTCATCCGAGTGTGTCCGGATCTACCTGACTGTCGCCAGGAAATGGCCGTTTTTTGGTGCAAAGCTGTTTCAGGCAGAGGTGAGGGAATCTGTCTGAGAGGCAAATGCAGCTTTGCCAAGTTTGGGCCAAGATTGAGCCTTCAGGCTTCACATTAGGATCCATTCTAGATCCTAATGATCTAGAATGGAAGCCAATCTGCATGCAGAGCCTGATAAACAAGCCCGCATCATCACCCCTCCTCCACTGTGGTTGACAGGTGGTATGAGGCGTTTGAGCTGACACGCCATAGTATCTCAGCTCAAACACAGTGTTTGAGCTGAGTGTGACACGCCATAGTTGGTTTGAGTCACCCTGCTTCAAATTAATTGTGATTAATCAGATCAATCATGATTCATCAATTATTGAAATAATCGTCACCTAATTTAGCAATCGGTTAATCATTAACTGGAGTATACACACTCTAAAAATGGCAGTTTGCTGAAAGAACAACATATTCAGAGTAGTAATTAAGTCAAACCTGCACAAAAAAAACTTTTGAAATTTTGCATTTAAGATGAAAAACCTTCACTGTCTATAAATATGTCCAACCTCACACTCTTCAAGTGACATTTTTAGATTCACCCGGTTCAAAATCTATTAAAAAATGTACTATTAAGCCCCTTTTGATATCTAATTATTAATAAGCTAATCATAAAAATAATAAACAGATCAAATGTTTGTGTATACAAGTAAATTAAATGAACTTGTATACACACAGATTTGTAAAATATTTCCATTTTCAGACTACCACTCCGTCCCCTGAGTCGGGTCAGAGTGTCTGGCTGGCGGTGCATGAAGATGGGATCAGCGTTCTGGAGCACAACTCCATCGTAAGCTGCTCTTCTGCAACAGACATGCAGTCATAAACACTTTGGTTTACAGCCTGTTCATTGCCTCCATTGTCCCTTAAAAACATAAAACCTTTATGTGCTCTGAAGTCCGCTCAGAGACTGGTGTCTGTGACGGTTTAACGTGTGTGTCACCAGAAACTGCTGGTGACCCATCCCTACAAGAACCTGATGACGTTCGGAGGCTGCAAAGACGACTTCATGCTGGTGGTGGGCCAAAACATCAGCAAGGACAAACCTACCGAGAAGCATCTGTTCGCCATGGACGCCTCCAAAGTGAGCAATACTTTATTGGGACGATCTTACCACATGAGAATCTGCCTATATCCTGATTTTGCTCTAAAATATTTGAAAGAAAATGGAGCTTGTAACGCTGAAATACCTTGACACAATGCTATTTGGCGTTGTGTCAAATAGCATTGTGCAGCCAATCCTGGAGTGCAGTTAATTTTTCTTGGCGCTGATTGGCTGTAACTTCCAAGAGTGGACAAATAAAAAAACTACAGAAGACGGTTTCCACCGCGGGTATTAATGCATGTTACGCAAAATTCACATTTTTCACATTTTTGTACTTCCATTTGGGTCTTAACTGATTATAAAAACAACCTAAGTACTTAAAAACATACCCAGACATTTTTTGGAGTCCTGAAAATTAACCATTTTAAAAACCTCCCAAAGGTTAAGCGCTACACCGTTACCTAGCTATACAACCTGATCCCAGCCCCGTTACCTAGCAACCCAAGCAGCGCTCCAGCACATGTGGTTAGCTGGTTCTACCTCTGTATGTTTTGTTGTTGACTTACTGTTCAAAAACCTCCTGCTGCATTCTCGTTGGGTGTGCTGGAGCCTCCATTTCTGCTTTTCAAAGTTGTACCATTTTATAATTGCATATTCTTTTAGTAGCCATTTCCAAGGGCGAGTGTAAACGTTGGGTGGGGTCTTGGCCAACTCAATGTTTACAATTATTAAATGCAATTATTAAAATGATCATCAACTTGTTAGGTGATTGATTAACTGTTGACTGGAGTATACAGACTAAAATGTCACTTTTTAGAGAAGCAGGAGAAATACTTCCTGATCTTTTACCAAAGAGCAAAGAGAAATTCTACAACCTCTAAAATCTGATACCACGCAATTTTTGTTTACATTCTATGAAGAAGAAAGTTGTATTCATGTCTTCTTCAAAGGTTTTTGCATCCTTTTTCTTCTGTGGTTCATAGTGCAGCGCCACCACAGGCAAGGAGGGGAACTTGTTTCTCAAAGAGTTGTTTTTTTCACACAGTGCAGTGTGAAAGTGAATCACAGCAGCTGAAATGTAACAGAAGTTGCAACTTTGGTCCCCAATCGAACCGAGTTTTCCGGACCATCATGTGTGAAAATCCACTTAAAGTCAAGTTTTAAGTTTTGTGACGCAAAAATGGTAATCAAATAAAGAGAGACGGGTTAGATTTTAGCAAACAGCCAATTTATCCCTCTTTGTTTTTGTGTCTGCTTTGCTTCGTGGGACAGATCAGGGAAATCACCCTCCTCATCTCCAGCTACATCAACAGCGCTCATCAGCAGAAGGCCGCCGCCCACCACCTGTCCGCCCCGGCTCTGATGGTGGCCCAGCCCGTCAGCCTCAAGAGCAAAGAGCTGAGGAGCAAATCCCCGCCGGCGCTCGGGCGCCCCAGCAAGGCCCCCACGTTGCTTTGACGCACGCCGAGTTTCAGCTAGAAAAACAATGTTATTTCTGCAAACACAATGTCACTTCAGTTCGTGCTGCAAAAGTAATCTGTTTGGTGTATTTTAATATTAAACCAGACCTCTCTTGGCTAGCAGAGATTTTAGCATCTATTCTAAGTACATTTGTGCTATTTATTATTAACATTGTTCCTAAACCGCTCATCAGTCACTGTGGGTTTATTTCCTTCAGTAACATTTTATTTAATGTTTGTTTTTGCCATTTTTATTATTATTATTATTTGTTTTGAATACAACACAAAGATCCAACAATTCAAATCTAAGCATTAAAAATATCATCTGTCTTCCAATCAATAAAGATTTTTATCATATTTTTTATCCAGAGAGCTTTTTTTCACATGCTTTATAGAAGGAAAAATTTGAAAATACTTGGCAAGAATTTCTAAAATCTCGGTGCTCATGACGACATGTTGGAGTAGCTTTGTTATGTTGTATTACTGTTGCAACACGATATTGTTTTTACAACCGAGAGCAGTTGATCAATGCTAATTAGAGTGAAAAATGAGGTACAGTAAGTATATGGATGCAGAGCTGGACCAAAGAGCAGAAGTTGGAAGTTCTTCACATTTTATTCTTTCCATGACATTTTATTGTTCCCAACAGCTCAACTTCAGAACTAATAAAAAAGTTCTTAATGCACCATATTACTGTAAATATCTTTGAAGTGTAGATGCAAGGTTCTTATATTTTCATGTGAAAGGTGTTTGGTGAAATATTCAATAATCTGTTCAGAATTTGCTTCAAGAACAACAGAATGGTCATTTTGTTCAGAGTTAAAGTTAGAGAGCATTTATTTTTCTTCTTGCAGACTATGCTTTGCCTTTAACTTTTCCCTGGGTCTTGTGATTATCGCCACGCACTCAGGACTTGGATATGATATGACTTCCTGTTGCAGTCCCGCAACAGGAAGTGAAACCAAATGAAATGCAGACACTTATTTAGCATAAGCAGTATGCGGCTGTTTTCTAAACCACAGGACTTTCAGGTTTGCTGAACTGGTTGTGTCCAAAGTGTAGAGTAGGTTTTGTTTTGTGCTCCTAGTTACTGAACAGCCAGGAGAGCGGAAAACTTTAATCCCCTTCTGCCTTCAGGCCTTTCTGAGAAAGAGAATAACTGGAATCGGTTGACTCACTTGTGTCAAAGACTGTGCGGCACTGTCTTGTTTGGGCGAGTCTTACTGTCTTTGGGTTTCACAGAGAATGAAACGTAAAGCTCAGTTTAGTTTTTTCAAAGTGAGAGTATTGCAGTTGTGTTGTCTGGATTCTGGATTATAATCTGTAAGAAATGGAGCATTCTTTATGGAAAACATGTTCTTCAAAGCACAATACGACATGTCGGACTCTGTTTGCCACTGTAAACAATTTAAATATCACAGGTCCAGTTTAACCTGAATTCAAAGTTGTTCTGCATCTCGGGAAAATTTGCTTTCTGGTTTATTTGTAAGAACAAAACCTCTAATCTGTGAAATATCAATTTTTGACATGGCAGATATGATTGATATACATAATTTGGACATTAATGAGTGTGGAACCAGTTTCAGTTTTATACAGAAAGATTGTCAGTCGTCCAAACAACATGTTCTTTATTTTGTCAACATGTACCATCAATTGGAACTAAGATAGATCAGATTGGATGAAGTCAAAGTACACTGAAGATGCAACTGTTTATGCACAGAACAGGAATATAACACTTTATCATCAGGAAAGAGATGTAAACAAACAAAAAGATGAGGTGGATTAGCAATGGTTACCAATAACTGATGGTGCCACCCAGGACGCGTTGCCTCCGCAGCCCAGATATTGAGCCTTAACACACCTGCTGGCTGAAATTACAGGCAGATAAAGACAGGAAAATGCAATGGTGACACTTTTTTTTGCATCATACGTCATGTGATCAACACCCAGATGCTACTATCTGACAGAAAAGACAAAGAAGATGACAGAAAATGGTACTTTTAATAACGTGTGAATAAACGTATTCACATATGATTTTAATTGCATTTCTTATTTAATGGAAACACTGTAACGGTGTAAAGCAAACAGAACGTAAACGTAATGTTGCACCATTTTCAACAATAGAAAAATTCAACTGATGAGAGGAAATTCAACCTAAAGTAACAAGTTGTGAGGCAGTTTCAGGCAAAATAATGTAGAAGTAAAGATATTTTTAATATATTTGGAGCAACTGTGGCTCAGTGAGGAGGATAGTAGTCTTGTGATTGGAAGGTGACATTTGTGTTTTATCCAGTTTTCACTTCATGCTGTTGTAGTTTATTTTTAAGCAGAATGAGTCGAAGCCAGCCGGTTATTACCAAAGAGTTAATGCCAGTGAGAAGTTGAATAGATTTAATATCCGATCAGATATGTTTTCAATTGATATTGTCTATCTGTATACATTGTTTTATGATTTATTGCTAACTTGGGTTATTACTTTCAAACCATCAAATTGCCTTCAATCATTCTTTTTTTATTTGTCCCTTAGTATCAGATAGGCTTCAACATAAATATTAATTAACTCAAAATTTTTCTCAGGTAAAATTAGCACTTCTGTTTTTATTTTACTCAAGTGTTACTGAAGAAAGGAAATGTTTTTGAAGAAAATACTGTTCTCATGAGGAGCTTTGTTCAGTGAAATCTGATTTATACTGTAATAGTTTGACTTGAAAATTATACTGACCATCATTTGCATTGACAAGAAAATATCACTTGCATAATAATTTGATACACGGTGCAACGACTGTTGGATCACAGCACCTTAATTCTTAGAAATGATGTCCGACTGACAAAACTAGAAAGTTAAGTGCAAATTCTGGTGTTTTAAAAGCTAAAATGTGAAAAATCTTACAAACTGACTAAATGACAGTGCACTTTTATACCTTAAACTTATGTTTTCCTCTAAGAGAGTGTGAGACAGTGGAATGTTTTTTAGTGTTTTGTGGACAGAGGGATGAATGCGTAACTGGTTTCTGTAAATGTGAGTCATAAAACCTATGGAAAGATACATAAAGCCACAGAAATCATAACATTCAGTCATTTTCCTGCCTCCTCCTCCTAATTGGTGCAGAGGGAACCGTCGTGCCATACCTGCAACAGGTGCAGACAGCGCCAGGCCCGCCCTCATTCCTGTAAGGCAGAGAGCCGGGGGGAGGGGAGATAAAAGACACTCTGACCTGCCTGAACAACTTACAAAACCTGCTTTTGGGGCCTAGTTTCTACGGAGACAAAGGGCGGGCAGAAGGGTACAAACTGGGTGAGGCATCGGTAAACAACTACAACACGTCGTTCAGTTTGTTTACGTTGTTTTGTTGGGAAGTTTTCAGAATTCAGCTTCTATGGAAAGTTTTGCTCTCGCCACCTGAGTTGTTTCACGACTCTAGAAGCTTGAATTTTCCATTTCTGTCCTATATAAAGACAGAAATGTCTTTATATAAGACATAAGCATGTTGACTTAAGCAACCAGATCAACTGCTTCAACATGCAAAGAAGGCAGTTCTGTTGATAAGACAAGAAATTCCCAGTAAATGAACCTACGGTGTGTGCAAGTATATTTTAGTGAATTAATTAAATGACAAGACTACCTTAGAAAAAGTTACATAATACAGCAGCTTTCAAAGTCGAGTGACATTGGATGGAAAACAAAGCTGCCAGAGGCGCCACACCCAGGTGACTCTCACCTGAGAAAAAAAAAACCTTCCATTGAAACTGCAACTAAACGCGTCAGGCAAATCATTTCAGATCAAAGTGTTACACAACAAATTCTCACTTAAAATGAATTTTATATTGCCAAAAAACACTTCAACTCCAGAATACATTTCAAAAATGGTTTTATTAAAAAGTCAAACATCATAAGAAACTGTACAATCTAAGAAATTTCCATCTTTTGATCAGATTCTAACATTAAAATGTATTATATCAACCAGAAAAAAAAAAAAAAAACAAAGTCATGATCAGATAAATGTTGTGCCAAGAGTTTCCACATGTTATAAATAAACAGGCAACCATAAGAGAAAGAGAGAAAAAAAAAGGTTTCTGGAAACAAATCTCAGTTTCTCAAATAAAGACCAACAAAATGTCGCTCTCCCTCCGGATGACTCTCCATAGACTTCCTGCTGCTCTAGTTGTTGGACTCCCCGTTCTTGATTTTTAGGAAAAGAGAAAAGAAAGTCTGGTTAAACAAAATCCATGGCAGAGCAACTGGTTTTACAGTGACAGAGTGCAGGAAGCTGCTTTTACCCGAGTCTTGCTGTAGCGCTGCTGCCGTTTCCGATTAATGAAGAACTACACCGGGAAAGAAAGATTGATTAGAGATCCATAAAGGTTCTTGCAGGAGATTTAGGCTTTTCAACTTTAACTGCACTCACCAGGGCCAGAAGGCCAAAGACCACAACCAGCACCACGACCACGATGACGGCAATGATGCCACCTGTCAGGTGCTGCATGGTGATAGTTGGACGCTCCTCATCCACGTAGTAGACCACAATCTTATTCAGGTCCAGCTTCTGGCTGCCCCCGTTGAGCTGGACTGCCGTCTGGTTCGAGAACAGAGGGGAGACCTTCAGCTGCAAGAGAAGAGAAAGTCAGTGAGGATCCCTCCAGAACAACTCAACTGTATCAGAGACTTTTAGAAACTTACATCTTTCTCCATGTAGTAGGCCATGTTGCCAAGGTTAACGGTACGGTCTCCTTTCTCCTTCTCTATGTCTATCACAATGTAGCGACCATCTGGGTCATACTGAAATTAAGACGCAAAGGTTTCATTAGGAGGATCTGTTTTCATGACATCCAGTTGCATCTAGTTGTAAGATGTGGCAAAGCAAACTGCTCCAGTCATTGGCTAGAAGTTCTCACCTGGACTTCTTTAACCAGCTTGGGGTCGACCTGGTAACGGGTTTGGAGGAGGTTTCTTACAGAACTGTAGGACGGAAAGGTTTTCATTAGGAATTTAGTCAAACAAAGTCAGAATAAAAGTGGAGTTGTTACATAAACTTACTTTTGCAGAGCCTCTACATTCACCTTACTGTCAGACTTAACTTCTTTGTGAGTCAGCTCAAGACGAACCATGCTGGAAAAAAAAAAAAGTTAAATACGTCACCTCCCAACATTCACCTGGAGCCAGAACAGCAGTTTCACTCACAATGTCTCCACCAGCTTGGAGCAGTTCATGTTCTTATCGCCCTTGTCGGTTCTGCGAACACCAGCGCTGTTGACGCACCAGCACTCCTCTGTCTTGTTGCACTGCTTGGCCTTGAAGTTACCATTACTGTCACACTCTGGGTCGTAGATACCGTCGTTGTCGATAATGGCGTGTTCATTTGGCTTTCCACCGATGTTTAGACGGACGTCTTGGCCAATTCTTCTTCTGAACATCTCAGCCTTCATCAAAAAGCACTTTGGGATCACTAAAGGTGGACGATAAAAAAACAAAAACATGAGAACACAACCAAACATATGCAGCACACATGTGTCACAACATATATAGTTTACTCACATTTTTCACAGTCGATGCTTTCTCTGTAACCGTCATCCAGGGTGATTTTACATGCACAATTGGGTGAGCTACCCTCACAGTTGACCCATTTCATTGTTGTACATGTACCTGAGCAACAAAATAAGACAAATTTGTGTTTAATCAGAGGTGAACACCACAACCTGCACTTATTGCGCCCCAGCTATTTGGAAAATAGTCAGTCGGAAGGATCAACAGGTATTCCGGCAGGTTTGTTTAACACCTGGGCGTTGGTTTCCGCAAACTGACAAAGTCCCCAGAGTGAGGTGGAGCTCCCATCCCCCACCTCTACCAATCTGAACGACTTCAATAGCTTCCAAACATTAAAATAAACATAAAATGACACCAAATGTAAAGTTATACAATATTAAAGAGAGAGAGATTATGTAAGTGTTATAAAACCTAATCAGTTCACGATACTTACAGGCAGCAGTATCTGCCTGTTTTTGCAAAGCTGCAAAGACAGCCAGAGCCAGAAGGATGAAACCCTTCATAGTTTCCAAAAGAATAAATTTTCTTCTCCTTTAAAAAAAACAAGCGTTTCTCTGAGCGTCCGTCGTCCGCAGAGGTCAGACAAAGACTGATGCAGGCGCTCAACAATACTTCCTTTTTCCTTCTGACGCAGGTGTGTCTACCGGCCGAACCTGTTTGGAGAGACGCTTCAGCGGGAGCGCGCGCGCACAAAAGAGCAACGTCACCTCAGGTGTGGTGAGGAAGGAGCAAAGTTCCTGCTGATTGTAATCCGTGGAGTTTGTTGTCGCCCTCAACTGACAAAAACACTCGCGATAGAGTAGATTTATAAACGAAGCCGCGCTTTACGTCACTCTCATTTGCATAAACGGTGACGGAGAGGGGCGGAGGGAGTGGGCGAAACTGACGCTCACCTGGTTCCGGTCTGACCTTATTTGTTGCCTGTTTCGGTCTGTCTCTCTGTTGACATATTTTCTGCTTTCGGCTGGTAAACATTTCTTATTTTGTTTCTGTCTCAGTTTTGCCTTTATTAGCAACACTTTGTAAAATCTGTTTATATCAAAACAAGTAAGTTAATTTTCAAACAGCATCAGAAGATTATTCACATAATGAGCCAAAGGGCTATTCACCAGTTTTGGTGCCCCACCCATGCAAGTTTCTTTCTCACATAGAATGTAAATATAAATTATTGTTTATTTTTAAGACCTCCAGCAGAGCCGGCTCCAGGCAAAGTGAACCAAGGGGCTGTTTGGAGCCCCCTCACTTTCAGCAGCCCCCCATAAACATTTGAATTTTACCACAGAGCTAGCATTTTAACATTTGTTTATTGAAAATGTGAATACTATCAAATACATTTTATGCCATGAGTTTAGTCTTGGTTATCTGGAACAAACTTTCAGAAAAAAAGGAATTCATTTAAGTCAATTAAAAAACAAAACAAACCCCCCTGCCCCCACCTGTTTAGAGTTCCCTTTGATTCATAACAACTGGAACAATGATTAACATGAACTGGAACAATGATTAGCATATTTAATGTGTGTTTGCTTGCTGATCTTAGAAAACTTGCTGAGAAGTTTTTATGGTATGAAACACTTCTAACTTATTAAAAATATAGTCCATTACATGATTAGTGTACTGATTTAACTAGTTTTCTAAGCTAATAGCTATTGGAAATAAGTTATCTAACAAAATAAAATGTCTTCCTACATTTAGATCAGAGCTTGTGCACAAACAAGAAACTCTTTCACTTGAACTCAAACAGAAGGTGTGTCTGCAGCTCAGGCATTTTTAGTTTGTTCTTCATTCTGGAAAGCTTCTCAGAAATTTTACTAAAGTAGAGGAGTAGTGATACTTTATAAAAAATGTTACTCAAGTAAAAGTAAAAGGTACAGTGAAATGGAAATACTCCTATCAGTAAAAACCCTAACTATGAGTAACTTTTATGTAAAAACTGCCATTTAAACTCTGCTTAAATGCCAGTTGTGTAATACATGACCATCCATTCATCCATCCATCCATCCATCCATCCATCCATCCATCCATCCATCCATCCATCCATCCATCCATCCATCCATCATCATCCATCCCATCCATCCATCCATCCATCCATCCATCCATCCATCCATCCATCCATTTTCCATCCATCCATTTTCTGGCAACAGTGCTATCAACTGTGCTACTGTGCAGCCCCCAATACATGACTAATAATCAATAAAAAAAAACCAAAAAAAACATTTTCCTTATATTTCACAATTATGTACCACTTTCTAATGGTCCATCACACAAAGTCTTAATAAAAAAACATTAAAATATGTGGTTGTGACGGAATAAAATGAGAGAAATGGTCTGATGTAACTATTGAAGCTCATTATATCACAATATTTGTGCTACGGCATGTGGAGCTAAACCAGTAAAACTGAACGTCAAGTGGATAAAACAGTTATGTTTTTTATTCATTTTTGTTTTAGAGGAAAGACTGCAACATTATGTTTATTTCCTCAACTATTATTCAGTTTTCTTATGTGATTTAACCTTATTTTCGACACAATGCGATAAACAGCTTGAATCTTTTATTGGTTGAACTAAAACCAGCGTCCTGTTTGTGTATCTGCTATTGTTTCGTTCGCTGACAGGATAACATCATCAGGCGTTTATTATAGAAGAAACTGGAGGCTGAAAACAAAAAAAACTCAGTTGTTGTGAGTCACTGACAGCAGAGATGATTGAGTCACAGCCTCGGGTCTCGATCCAGGTGAAAGAGCGTTCTCAGGAGTTCTGAGCTGACTCATTAGTTTTTGTTATAAATTCAGTGGAGGGAAAGTATTTGATTAGAAGTAACGCTTTGAGCGTCGCTGGTATGAAGCAACCGAAGCACAAATTTAAATAAAAAGCAGAACAGAATATAGGAGGAGCAAAGTCTGGTTGTCATTTCCTGGAGTCGCCCAAACCTCTACACTGTAAAACATTTGAGCTGCGTTTTTCTTCTACTGTTTAAGTCAAATAAATTCAGAGAGTTTTAGATTTCGAACTTAACTGTGAGTTTGTGAAAGATGAACTTACAATAGCAAGTTGTGTTAACTTCTTATTAATTTTGTCAAACCTCCAAGAGTTTTTAGGTTAGCATTTGGAAAACTTCAAAGAAGAAAAAGACAGGAGTGGAAAGTATTTCCCAGAATGCTTAGCAACGCGTTTCTGAACGCTGAGACGGAAGCGCGTTACAATGATCTGACTCTTGTGTTTTATTTCACTGATAATGTCCTGTTGTGATTTGCTTCCCTCTCCTCCCCAACGGCTGCTGTTGTTTTGTACTTCCTATATTCTAATTTATCTGGTAAATGTATTGTTTTTGTTTGGAGGAAGTGACTTGCTGTATTTAATATTTAGTGTTAATTATTCTCTCGTCTCTTTGAGGTCACCTGGTCAAGTTAATCAGTGCTGACCAGGACCTGGTGTTTTCAATCAGCCTCACTGGGAAAATCCATCGTTTGAGAGGGAAGGAAGATGTTTTTGGCTTTTGTTTGACCCCAGATTGCTTTTGTCTTAGTGTTGAAGTTGTTAGTTAATTGTAATTGTGTAAATATTTTTCTAGGAATATAGTTTAGTACAAATGTTGTCTCCAGGTTTAGATCAGAGGAAGAGTCTCCTTGCTATTGTTTGAATGCATGTCATGCTGTAAACTGAGATAAAATGTTTGAGGAACTGCATAAAAAAATAATTCAGTACCTTTACCTTACTTTCCAGCAGAATCTAGATGCTTGTTTTAAGTAAATCATTTCTTAATATTTATGAAAAGTACTGCTTCTTTTGGCAGATAAATTAATTCATAACAGAAAAAAATGTCTTATGAGTTAATTTATTTGACAATAGAACAAAAACTTCATCAATATTCATCGAGAAATTATTTACTTAAAATAAGCTCCAATATCAGACTAAAAAGTTAGTTTTAAGAAAGTTTTGTCTGTTTCAAGTTTACTAAGATATTTGCACTAGACACTATAGACCAAAAGTTCTTGGTAAGATTTTGTTTTTTTGCAAAGTAACCAGTAAGAAAAATATTTTAAAAACACACAAATGAATCCAGATAACATGAGTCATAATGCTACAGATGATTCTTTGATGATTATTTGACCAACATGTTTTTATAATGTTGCCTAACAGTCAATAATTCCCAGTAAGCCTAAAACCTGTTTGGTCTGTCGTTATTTCTCCCAGAAGGCATCAATCATGATGCATATTAAACCTGATGACAGCATGAATTTTCTCACAGTCACATGTGGTTGGGAATGAACGGTTAAAATGTTCAAGAAAGCTTTTTATTTGTACTTTTACCAAATGGTCTTACTGTCTAAGCTGTGAAAAGCGTTGTTGCCACTCATTCCCACAGGTCCAGTTTGTCTGCGATGATGTGCAGCATGTCGCCGATTCGCAGAAACAAGGCTGGGAAAAGTTTTATTTATATTGCACATTTCAGCAACAAGGTGCATAACATGAAGGAAACTTTACATATTCTCAAATGTCATCATTATGAAATAAAGACAAAAATTAATAAGGTTCCAGCAGGAAGTTTGAAGTGCTTTGAATAACAGTAACAAACTGCAAACATTACATATTGTCAAATATCATCAAGTTTGGAGTCGTTACGAATCAAAAGCAACTAACCAGGTTGGGTTTAGCCTTGATTTAGAGGAACTCTGTGTTTCGGCGGCTTTTCAGTTTGTTCCAGATTCGTGGTGCATGGAAGCTGAATCCTTTGTCTCTGTGTTTGGTACTGGTTCTGGTTCAGAGCAGACCAGAACCAGAAGACCTTAGAGTTCTGGAAGATTGCTATGACACCAGCAGATCTTTGATATATTGTGGTGCTGAGCCATGCAGTGATTTGTAAACAGTATTTTAAAGTCTGTTTTCTGAGCTACAAGGATCCAGTGTGGGGACTGAAGAGTTTTAGTCAGACCTCCAGCAGCAGCGTTCTGGATCAGCTGCAGCTGGAGGATTGCTTTGTGAAGATCAGTTCAATCCTGTCAATTGACCCAAGGAAGGAGTTTTAGTCTTCTAGTAGAGGCCATCATATTTTTAAAAAAATGCATCGTTGTATTTCAGAGATTATGACGTTGTTTTGGAGGAAAATGGAAATAAATGGGAGACAAATGAAAAGAAAAATTAAGTGACGGGAAAAAGAAAAAAGTAGGAATAAATGGAAAGAGAAAGAAAGAAGCTGCTATGGAAAAAGGAAATGAAACAAAATCAAGAACAATTTTGAAAAAGAAGGAAAAAATTTTAAAAGAGAGGTAATAAAAATAACTTTCTATGTCTTTCAACCAGATGGCATGTAGGTGGATCTTTTTCTACACTCTCAACATCCTGTTCACAAAACCAACTCCAGTTAATCTCCAGCGTTATTTGATCCCATTTCAGTTCTGCAGAAACTATTCCTCTGTCTAAGGTCAGATGGTGCGCAGGTCCAGACAAGTGAAAAACATTTCCTGACTGTGTGAGATTGACCCACATCTGCTCGACTCAAATGGATTGCTCTCTTTCCTTTCCTGAAAATGATCAGAGATAATTAGCCTTTGAGTCACTCCCTCCTTAATTCCCAGGGAATCATAAAGCATTGAATGCTAACAAAAGAGTTTGAAAAAGTTTCCAATGTGACATAATGTGACTGCAATGAATACATTTTTTAATTTGAAGCCTTTTGCTCTTCTTTATCAGGGAAGTGAGTCAGTCCCCCAGCAATGTTCCCAGTTTATGATCCAGATGTTGCACAAAGTCTGTGTGTTACATTCTTTTGGTGGGAGTAGACTTTAAAAAGAATAAAAAAAATAACAAGCTGACACATGCTCCAGCTTCTTCTGCATCAGTATTTCAAGTTTTGTCCAGGCATTGCTTGCTGAAAACACAATTCAATCAAATGCTAAAAATCCGTTATTGTCCTTTAATACCAGCTCCTTGCAGGGAAGGAATGCAACTTCCTCATAGCTTCACAAAAATGTTAAAAGAACACATTGTGGTTGATGGTTGTTTGCATGCATCGCTTCAACTGTAACTTCAATATTTCTTTGGTGAGTCAGCGCCTGTTTAAAATGTTGTTCCTCCATTACTGCAAAGTATGTGACAGTCATTTCACAAGAGACTGAAAATCCATTTCTGATGATTTTACAACCCAATTTACCCAATCTTGTGTTTGCAGCTATAGAATTATAAAGCCTTTTAAATCCTCAACCGAGATTTTAAACTATGAGATCAAGCTTGCATGGATATGTCACATTATCCCATGAAAATACAAAAACATTCCTGGACGACCAGTCAGGTCTGCACACTCCTCAGAGCCCCTGCCTTCAGGTCAGGTGGCCCAGCTCTCCACACAGTTGCTCGAGCCGACCCAAAAGGAGCCAAGGCGGATCACAGGGTGCGCATAAAGTCCCATCTGTCCAGCAACAACACACGGGAGGCACACAAGACATCCCAAACTTTAGAGCACATGTGTCAAACTCCAGTCCTCCAGGTGTCCTACAGTTTTTACATGTGCTACAGTTTTTACAAAACGCTGGGATGAAATGGCTTAATTACCTCCTCCTTGTGGAGATCAGTTCTCCTGCATCTCGCTAATGACACAATTATTATGTTCAGGTGTGGTGCAGCAGAGTTGCACAAAAACATTTGTGCAATCGCCTTAGTTGGGACTTTCCCAAGTGTTTTACCGAAATAAAAGCTTCTTACAGGAACCAGGAAGCTTGACCAGCGGAGGCCCAGACTGACCTCCCTACACTGGCTGCCTGCTGTTTATCGCAAAGATTTTAAGATTCTCTTATTAACTTATAAAGTTTTAAATGGGTTAGATCCCCCTTATCTTCGGGACCTTTTAAAATTTCAGTCTGTGTCCAGAACCCTACCATCAAATAATCAGCTATTGCTGACAGTTCCTTGGACCCGACGAAAGAGGAAAGGAGATCGGGCTTTTTCTGTTGTTGCTCCTGTTCTATGGAACGATCTACCTTTCCAGATTAGAAAGGTAGATTAGATTAGCCTGGATCATTTCTGAAAAATACGGTGACAAATGGACTAATAATGCAGTCAGGATTAACTTGCTTTACGCCATTAATGTTTCCTGAACAAACAGCAGAGAACATTGGAGGAAACTATTTACAGAGAGTGAAACCTCCCGATCATTAAGTCACATTACCTATCAACCCAAGCCTCTGCTTCTGCTTTCCAAAGATGTATGGCTGTATAATTTTGAATCTGTTTGCAGCCATTTTCATGTGTAAGTGTAAACTTGGATTTTGAGGGTGTGGCCAGCAGCAACTTATTTGGATTTAAAGTGACAAGACGCCCTAAAACATCTCATTCTGAAAGGAGCTCAGACCAGAATCTCATTATCTAAGAATGATTTTTTGCAAAAAATGGGCTAAATATGTTTTGCATACAACTGTACATCTCTGACAAGCAGAAGAGGAGCCTCCTGCACAACCAACAATGATACAATTGAAAAGCTAAAAAATGTAATCAACCAAACCATCCTGTGTCATGAATGATTGAAGATTAGTTTGGCCTTATAATGCCGCTGCTGGTTTGTTTACATCGGTTTATGTTCAACATTGGACGACTCATGGCAGCCAGGAATGTGTCTACTTGGGTTACATTGAAATCTCTTCCAGAAAAATCAAAACCCTTCTCTCCCATAACGAACAGATGAATAGAAATAAATTGGCTGATTATCAGCGACGTACAGTAAAGAGGACAAATGGTGTCCTCAGGTTGCTGGGACATTTATTGTGTATGAGTTGACACATAACCAGAGGAGCATGGGTGTTCCTCTTCCCAGAGGTTTAAGATGTCAGGGCTGAGCGTGCTGTGAAGGACAGGGGCATTGTCCCAGGTAGGGTGGAGGTATCCAAAAATAAAAAGCAGAAGAAGCTCCTGGAGGATAAAGGTGTGCAGCAAAAGACGAGCAGAGGTTCGGAAATCTCCCAGTCATGGCAGATGCAAACCGGACAATCAGACTGGAAATTATGAGGTGAGTTAAAATATCTCTTTTCTCTTTCTTTGGTTATAGTCATAGAGATCAATCCAGCAATTTTACATCTCTCATGAGAAAAACATTCATGTTTTTATTCATTGGTTTCTGTATGTTTGAGGAAAGAAAATAGTAATTAGTGTCATAAATAACTTTTGTGTAGTGCTAAATATTCTTGTATGCTTTGCAATTGGAAATTTATTTAAGCTTTCATAAACTATTCAAAAGAAAATAATATTTCAAAAGGTAAACGGGACAAAAGAAAGCAACTAATTGATTGAAGCCTGTAAGGAAAGTGGAAAAAAAGTAAATCATAAAATATGAATAAAATGTACAATATAATGCAATATAAATTATTATACCACCTGAAATTACAGGCTACACGTTACACATTAAAGGCTTTAAATTAGTCTTAATCCAGATTTAAATCTGGACTCTCAGTAAAGTCGTTTTGGGCTAAAATTACAGATTATCTCAACTATTTCTAGCCCAGTTTAAATTTTAAACACCTGCATATTGAAACCCAACTCTGTTTCACAGCAACGCTTCAGAAAAGGTTTCACTTTGCAGCAGGTTATTAATTCAGCATAAGAAAATATATTTTCCTCCATTCCTGTCAGTTTTAGTTTTATCACCGATTGAATTCAGATGCAGCATCTGGGATTAATGTTTCAGTCAATATAAATATTGATGTTCAATCATTTTAGCTGAGGTTCTGTTGAAATATTATAACCAATTGACAGACTTTTAAATGCAAAAATGTTTCTTGTTGTTTCAATATTTATCAGGGAAAATAATAAAAAAGTGGAGTTTGATTTTTGAGGATGTTTTAAGAGCTTTTTACGCCCAAATGGAAAATGTAATTTTGAATGAATGACTGAAATTGTCAGTCTGAACTTATAAACAAAAAAATATCATTAGTAAAATAATAATAATAAAACAGTCCGTAGAATTAACGTAATTAATAATATTGCCAATGAATTTAAGCTATTCATAGAAAAGAACAACAGCAATAAAATATTTTTATTGGTCGATCTAACTAACTAGCTAATAAGCTAATCTGTGTTTCTATAGTCAAAAATATGTTTTAAATCTTTCACCTATTTGTTCTATTCTGGACGTAGATTAAGGTCACACTCCACACTACCTGTAAATACATATATATGGCTGTAATTTATCAGTCTCCTCATGGTTTCTATATGATTATATTTCTTCAGCATCGACATTTAGGACTCCTGAAATATTCCAGATCAATAACCATTTCATGCGAGATTTTATATATTATATTTTATATATTATACTCAATCATATACAGCTACTATATTACCCAACAGCAGGCAGCGCACATCTTTTAAAGCTGAGCTACATTCATGTACTTTTGTGATATATTTTTATCATTTATCTTAAATTATTTATATTCAATATTTATATTGTTTTTAAGTTCTTTTCCCCGCTATTTCACAAATTTACACCACAGACCACAAACTCTCTAGAGTTGTCTCTTTTTCTTAAATTAAATTTTATGTACATTATTTGACTTCTTTTGAATTTGTCTATGTCCATGAAAAGTCTCCTGTTTAATCTTAAACATAATTAATTGACAATCACTGTGTTTAAGGTAAAGATTGTGTAAATACTGATGTTCATTCTCTCGCCATGAGGCTACCAACTTCTTTAAGTATAAAAGTACACATTAAACAACTTTTTAGCCTTTAATTATAATAAAAGCATTACAAAGTAAAACAAAAATACAGAAAAAAATCTAATAAAAAATTTAAATGCTGCTTGAAGAGTATTGTTTGTTGCCTGTAATGGTAAATTTCACTTTTAACCGACATTGCTGTCCTAGTTGCAGAACCTCAGGGGCGGTAGGTGTTCCTCCATGCATGTAACTGGAGTCTCTCCTGCCGTCCATCCAAAGCCTCCGTCTCAGTCAGACAATAGCACTGCATGTCCGGAGGGGTGCTTTAACATTTAGACTGAAACCTAATAAGAGCAAACAAGAGATTATTTTCATTTCTGTTCAGATTTATGGCGATTGCTTCTTTGAGTCATTTCCTGTAAAAGTACTTCAAATAGTAAATATTTCAGACCTGGGAATATTTACATCAGTTTGATTAGAATATGTTCGATAACAACTTGGATGAATCATCTGGCACAAGTGTCAAACTCAAGGTCCTGGGGCCAAATCTGGTCCGCCGTAGCTTTTTATGTGGCCTTCTCGACTCCAGATTACATTATTTATTACCTCCAGTTTTTTTTACAAATCTGTGACATTCACACAGAATCAACAGATCCCAAATTCCACAGTTTAATACATTTATTAATACAACCTTGCACAACCGGCCCGTTAAGAACGTTCAGATTTTTGATATGACCCAAAATGAAACTAATTTTGGTACCAATTGGAATTTAATATGCATTTATTTGTCAAATTATCAAGGTCAATTCATATTTTGGAAACATCAAAGCGTGAGACTGAGAAACTAGACACCCAAAAATGCATCATTTGTCCTGAAAATTGCTTCAGCTAATAAAGTGAAATCTGTCTTATGTGAAAATTAATCTTATTTTTCCCTTTTAGGTTTCCCATCTTGTGGCTGTTAACTGTCTTCGCCCTGCTGGTTTACTGCTTAGCAGGTTTGTGCAGTTCATATGCAATAATGAATAGAGTGATTGGTATTTCTTAAAATTTAAAACAATTTGAGTTTTCACCCTCTTGTTTTCTCGTCTTTTTTCAGCTGTCGTTGACAAGAGTGAATGCGAGGCAGAAGGCATTAAGTGCCACGCTCAGGCCGACTGCCTGAAGATTGGCAACAACTTCGCCTGTGTCTGCCGCGTGGGCTACCAGGGTGAAGGTCTGCAGTGCAGCGACATCAACGAGTGTCTGAGTGGCATTCAAAGTTGTCACTCAAAGGCCCGCTGCACAAACTCTCCAGGCAGCTATTCTTGCATTTGTCTCGATGGATATGTTGGTGATGGTAAAACCTGCCAGGACATCAATGAGTGTCAAACGAACAATGGGGGCTGCCACCCCACTGCAGTCTGCACCAATTTGGATGGTGGGAGAACGTGTCAGTGTAGTTCAGGTTTCACAGGTGACGGCTTCCAGTGCACAGACGTCAATGAATGCGCAAGGGAACGAATCTGCCATTGGAATGCCACCTGCACCAATAACCCCGGTTCTTTTGTGTGCACTTGTAATGCGGGCTATAAAGGAAATGGAATCTACTTGTGCATGGACATTGATGAGTGTTCAGAGAATCGTGTGTGTTCTACTTTATTAGGTTTCAAAGGCTGCGTAAACACACCTGGGTCCTATCGTTGTACGTGCCACAGTGGTTTTCAAGCCACTGGACAGAACTGTATTGACATTGATGAGTGTGCAAGCAACATCTGCAGCCCTAATGCAGTTTGCATAAACTCTGTTGGATCATACCAGTGTACCTGCAAAAGTGGGTTTGTGGGAGATGGGTTGACATGTGCTGATATAAATGAATGCATTGCAGGCAATGAATGCGACTCGAAGGCTGTTTGCCTCAACAGGTTGGGTAGTTATCAGTGTCTGTGTCAGGAAGGTTTTATTGGAGATGGGCGACGCTGTGAAGATGTTGATGAGTGTGCAAATCCAAACATTTGCCCATCTTTCACTACCTGTGTGAACAATCCTGGGTCCTACAAATGTGACTGTGGCAGTGGATTAATATTCAATGGCTCCAAGTGCAATGACATTGATGAATGCAAAGCAGGTCAATGCAGCCCTTCTGCAAACTGCACTAACTCGTATGGTTCCTTTTCTTGTCAGTGCCTGTCAGGCTACAGGGGAGATGGTTTTACCTGTGACGATATAGACGAATGCTCTTTGAATTCAAAATGCCACTCGAAGGCCATTTGTAAAAACTTACCTGGTTCTTTCAACTGTACATGTATGACAGGCTACTCTGGTGATGGGCTTCAGTGCAATGACATCAATGAGTGTCTGGTGAATAATGGGGGCTGTAAAAACAAAGCAACGTGTGTCAATAACCAAGGGTCTTTTGCTTGCCAGTGCCAGTCAGGTTTCATCTTGATTAATAAGACAATTTGCCAAGACATTAATGAGTGTGTGGAAAAGAGCAATCCGTGTGGAGTGAATGAAGAGTGCAAAAACACTGATGGGTCTTATGAGTGCCCCTGCCAGGCTGGCTACAACCGCCCTGCTAGCAACTTGGCCTGCGTTGATAGGGACGAGTGTCAAGACAAACCGTGCCATATCAATGCCACATGTCTCAACACCATTGGCTCATACACCTGCACCTGTAAGAGAGGCTTTACAGGGAATGGCTCTCATTGTTTGGACAAAGATGAGTGTGCTCAGGCACAAATATGCCACACAAGGGCCATATGCACTAACACTGTAGGGGGCTTTTTCTGCTCTTGTCAGCAAGGTTTCATGGGTGATGGATTTTCCTGCGAGGATGTGAATGAGTGTTCCCGCTCCAATACCACCTGCCCTCCTTTCTCACAGTGTGTCAACTCTCCTGGTTCTTATGTTTGCTCATGTTTGAATGGTACGGTGGCCTCTAATGGCACCTGTGTGCCACCAGATTTTCTGTGTGATCCTCCCTGCCATAGTAAAGGTTTGTGCCACCTTTCACCTTCTGGATATCAGTGTGTTTGTGACGTGGGCTTTGATGGCAATGGAGTGACCTGCACAGATATCGATGAATGCCAGATGGACAATATTTGCCCTGACAATGAAACTGAATGTTTGAATACTCCTGGATCATTTTCTTGTGTCTGCAAACAAGGCTACACTCTCAACGGGACTCAATGTGTTGGTAATGATTTTTTATATTTGTTATTTAAAACAACGAATGTCAGGGCCAGGTTCAGCCTCAATATTAGGTTATGTGATATGAAAGTTGAAAGACAGAATTCATACAGAGACGGGAAATATTACATCCCTTCTAAATATATCAGATACAGATAAGTAAGTAGAAAATGCAGGTTTACTTACAAATTACAGTCTGTCTACTGATCAGGCATAACATTATGACCAGTGAAAAACACTGGTTAGCCTCATCGTGGCAACAGACTGGTTTGGTGACTATACTAGAACTAGATCTCTGCTTTTAGATTTTCTGATTGCTAAATTATTTATCTTGAAATGCTTCTCTCTTATTACACTATTTGTTTGGGACATTTCCAGATGTGAATGAATGTGATACGGGGCAGCAAGAGTGCAGTGAGTTTGCCCACTGCAACAACACAGTGGGCAGCTACTCCTGCTTTTGTCGAAGTGGCTACACAGGCGATGGGAAGAACTGCTCTGGTACGTATCTGTTCCTTATCATGTACAAGCTGTAGAACTTGCTTCATAAGTGGACACTCTTGTGAGTTTTTAGCACATTTTGGGGCTGTTTCCCTGACAATGTCCCATTTTGGATAAATTATAGACATTGATGAATGCCAAGACCAAAATGGAGGATGCCACCCATTGGCCAACTGCACTAACATGCCCGGATCTTTCTCCTGTGTCTGCCCGATGGGCCTGGAGGGGGATGGCTTTTACTGCAAGGATGTGGACGAATGTGAGCAGAACTCTACCCTGCCAAACAACTGCAGCTCGGAAGCTGTGTGCCTCAACACCAATGGTTCCTACCTCTGCCGGTGCAATCATGGATTCCAAGGGGATGGCTTTATTTGTAATGATGTTGATGAATGTGAATTGGCCACAGCTTGCAGCAAGAATATGACATGCACCAACTTTCCTGGCTCCTACAGCTGCTCTTGTATATTGGGAAACGTCTACAATGAGGGAACGTGCATTAGTGAAGATGACTGCCTAAATGCTACTAATTTCTGCCACTCGCTTGCAAAGTGTAACACATACCACGGTTCTTTCTACTGTGAATGCACAGATGGATATGAAGGAAGTGGGACTGACTGCTGGGACATAAATGAATGCGATCAGTTACAACATAAAGTCTGTGCTCCCTTCTCACACTGCCAAAACACAAATGGTTCTTTCATCTGCAAGTGTTGGGAAGGTTTTCAAGGCAACGGTACACACTGTCAGGACATAGATGAATGTGAGGTGGGAAACTTCACCTGTCCTGACAACAGTACTTGTAATAACACAGAAGGGAGTTACAACTGCACCTGTGACCCAGGATTCTCAAGCAATGACTCCTTGTGTTTGGACATTGATGAATGCTCCCTTGGCCTGATCCAGTGTCCTGATTTTTCCAACTGCCAAAACACGATTGGATCCTCCATCTGTGTGTGCTGGGAAGGTTTTCGATACAACGGTACACACTGTCGTGATATAGATGAATGTGAGATGGGAAACTTCACCTGCCCTGACAACAGTACTTGTAATAACACAGAAGGGAGTTACAACTGCACCTGTGACCCAGGATTCTCAAGCAATGACTCCTTGTGTTTGGACATTGATGAATGCTCCCTTGGCCTGATCCACTGTCCTAATTTTTCCAACTGCCTAAACACAATTGGATCCTCCATCTGTGTGTGCTGGGAAGGGTACCAAAGCAATGGCACAAAGTGTGAGGACATTGATGAATGCCTGGACAATTCAACCTGTCCTGATCATAGCACATGTGTGAACACCATAGGAGGCCACCAGTGTCTTTGTGACACTGGGTTTTCCAATAGTACTGACTTATGTGTGGATATTGATGAATGCAGTGAAAACAACGGACAAGAGCTTTGCACAAATGGGACATGCAAGAATGCTCTTGGTTCTTATTACTGCGATTGTTTTAATGGATTCTTGAGCAATGGTACAGAGTGTGTGGATGTGGATGAATGCTCAGAGCTTCTCAACACCTCAGTGTGCCAGCCTTTCTCCACATGTGTGAACTCTCTAGGTTCATACCTCTGTCCCTGTAATGTAGGTTTTATTCTGAATGGTATTGACTGTCTGGATGTGGATGAATGCCTTGACCCAGATGCTAGCCCATGTCCAGAAAACTCTATATGTAACAATACAGAAGGGTCTTTCCTCTGTCACTGCTCCCCTGGGTACCAACCCATTGACACTGGCTGTGAGGATATTGATGAATGTAAGAGCACCAACACCTGTCGCTCTGATCAGGTGTGCACAAACCTACCGGGAGCATACAATTGCTCTTGCCCTCATGGTTACCATGAGGAGAAAGAGGCATGTGTCGACAGCAATGAATGTGAGAATTCGCCATGTCATCCCTTGGCATACTGTTGGAATACACCTGGATCCTTCTCCTGTCACTGCCACAGAGGCTTCACTGGGAATGGCTCCTGGTGCAAAGATGTGGATGAGTGTGCTGCCTTTTCCAACCCTTGTCACTCCCTCGCTCAATGTCATAACACCCCAGGATCATTTGTTTGTGTCTGTATGCCAGGCTTCCTCAGCATTGGGCCCCTATGTGTGGACATTAATGAATGCCAGCAAGAAAATGGACAGTGTCCGTCAGCTGCAACCTGCAACAATTATGTAGGAGGATTCAAATGCTCATGCAAACACGGCTGGAAAACTAACAAGGACAATGGTCTTGGAAAAGAAGGCTGTGTAGACTTGAATGAGTGTTTGTCCCCCGACCCCTGTCCTCATCAGACATCCTGTACCAACCTGCCAGGGAGCTACGCCTGTACCTGCACCGCAAACAACACAGTTTGCAATACCTTAGCCAAAATGGGTTAGCTATGCATTTGTTTTTATTACATTTTTATAACCAATTCTTTATGCAGCTCAATTTGTTGATTGGAAACAACCTGATCAACAAGTCTATAAGAAACTAATCAACTACCAGTCATGTATGTATGTAGTTAATCCCAAAGTTATTGTTATACCTGACAGATTTAGATCTAAAAAGTTAACCAAGAAAATTCTGAGACTGACATTTCTAAAATGCTAATAAAGCTATTTAAAAGCAATATTATTTAAAATAAAAGAAATTGATGTTTTCTTACTTAAACATAATTTCCTGAATAATAAATTATAAATATTATGTGGAATTACAGCAATCAATACCTTCTTTTCATGTTTTCTTGAATGTTTTGATCTTTGGTAATGAGCTTCAAGTCTTTAAGATTGGAAGGCCTCCTTACCATTACCCTAATCTTTAGGGATATGTTTTCTATCAGATTCAGGTCTGGGCTCTAGCTGGACCAGTCCAAAGCATCAATATTACATCGGTAGTAGTAATATAACTGCCTTCTCGGTTACCAGTGTTGCTTTTAAAAAAAAAAAAAAAAAAAAAACTAATTTGTTTTATTTTAATAATACAGTGCTGTTACAAAAAAAACTAAGCAATATTTGCTAAGATTATTTAAAACCATTTGTACTTTGAAAAATAGAGTAGCAAACAAAGTGAAACATTACTATTTTAAAATAATTAAAATGCAAAATTAAGTTATTTCTTAGCAGAATGTCTTAAACAAAGAGGGCAGAGAAACACCGTATTGTTCACACTGCAGCCTTAGGTTGACAGATGAAACACCCAACTTGACTAACTGCCTGTTCTCCCCACAGAGAGCTCTCTGTACCCATACGGAGCAGAGGCTGGAGATAGAGAAGTGAAAATAGAAACAGAAGATGGAAATTCTCCATACATTGCACCACCAGCAGGGTTTCCTTTCATGGGGAAACTGTTCCACAGAGTATTTGTGAGTCTGATTTTTCCTTCTTGCACAGTTTGTCTACATCATGTTCGCTTTTCCTCAACTCACCTCAGAGGTTTTCTCTAGGTTTGTTGGACTGAAATCACCATGAATGAAGGATTTGATTATATGTTTCAAATTGTTATTCTTTAGTCAGATTTTGCTCTAATTAGAACTGTCAGGCTCCCATATTTTACATATTTTGATGCCATTTTGGTTCTTAAAGCTGTATTTTCTCAAAAAACACACAAAAAATACAAATTATAAATGATGACATGCAGAGTTGAATATTTGGTATTTATGAGTTTTGTAATAGTATGTGTTATACTTATGCAATCATGCAAGAAAAGTCTGACACAGGGACTCATTAACTCTTAAAACAACATATTTTATTATGAAACTATGTTGTTTAAATTGTCATCCTTAGCCTGGAGTACCTCTGTAACTTGTTATTAGAAATGATCTGAGAATATGTATGGAAAATCATTTGATATTAGCATTTCTTGACATATTGATGACAAGAAATTAAGACATTAGTTCCTGGGATCTCCAGGAACTAATGTCCCCCGACTTAAACTAACAAAACCAAGAATTACTAAAGTTTTTTATGTTATATATATATATATATATTGCACTGAATAATTTTACTAAATTGAAACATTGTTTTCCTCTAAACTGTTTCTGTTTGAGATTATTCTTAGCACCAATAGAGGGCGCTGTGTGACTAAAACTATGACCAAAGTAACATCCTGTTGAGTTCAGGAAATTTTCCCTGCAGAACAAAAAGTTATGAGATTAGTCATTTCAGTTATGACAATGTTGAGGCGCAGTATTTACATCAAAGTATTTGGTTATTCACAGTTCACAGAATAATAAACTCAACAGAAAGACAAACTTTGATGGCTGAACATTGTATTAACTGTGATTTACTTTCAGTAAAGAGCCTGACTTTGTTTTATTTTGGCAGTTTTCTGATAACGGCCTGGTCCAGTTTCAGTCGTTGGCTGAGAATGAACAATACCTGCTCCCGTCTCCCTCTGCTGAAGGTTTCCCTGATGACATAAAAGGGCCGTTATTGGCTGTCTTTTGGGATGATGGTGACCTCACCAAAGGCAATGGGAAGCTACACTATCAGGTCAGGTGAAAACAAAGAGCAACGCTCTGAAAAACAAATTTTTTTTTAATTGAGTTTAATTCAAACCAGTCAAACTTACTTAATCTTGGCAATAATTGCATCATTGTTGTTTGATTCTTTCAGGAATATTCAGAACTGGATCCATCAGATGTTTACTCCCACATGGTTTTCAACCGCACAGCAGTTGAAGTGACAAAGTTTGAGGGTTTGAAACAGAGGCCTTCGTTTTCCCCCACCTGGATCCTGAAGATCACTTGGGAAAACGTGATGCCCGTCTCCTTTCAGAAGGTCAACCTGTCAGAGGTCAGGTCACATTTAGAATCCTGGAACAATGAATACAAACATGAAATATATTAAGTTCCTCACTAAATATTCATCTCTGATCACTAGAATAAATAAATTCAAGCATATTGAGCATTTAAACTCTGTTTTTTTATATAACCTGCCTGTATTTTGATTCATAAAGATGCGAAGGATCAGTTAGTGTCATTGTTTGGTTGTCCTACTTTAAATGTTGTTGTGCAATGTGAGATTTTGAAGGTGAGACAACGAGTAAGTCGTGGTTTCTGTTCAGATGTCCAGTTTGGTATCTGGTGCCACCTTGTGGTGTCTCAGAGGGATTTGATTTTGCCATTCGTCTTGTTTTTTGCATCATCTGTAAGGTTTTGCTAAAAAACATTCTAGAAAAATTAAGATTTCTGAGCTTCAAAAGTCCAGGATTTGCTTTTTAGAACAATCTCAGAAATCTTCTAGAAAAAAATACAAACATTTCTCAGTCTCAAAAGATTAAAATGTTCAACTTTCTCACATTTTTGAAACTTAAAAATTTCAAAAATTTTTGTTCTGGAAAATTTCTAATATAAATTACTTGCAAATTTTCGACTTTTGAAACTCAAAAATTTTCAAACATTTCTTTTGTAGAACATTTCTGAAACAAATCTCAAGTTTTTTGTTGCACATATTTTGAGCTTTCAATCTCAAAAATAGATTTTTTTTTCCAAAACAAAAATCCTGTAATTAATCTGAAAATGTTTTAGTTTTTTTCTGGAAAATGTTTGACTTTTGGGGCTCAGAAATGTTCGAGTTTCTTGTAGAAGATTTTTTTAGGGGTTTTTTTTTGGTGGAAATTCACTCCTGTTTTTGTTTCCTATCTTCAGTGGCCCTGGTCCGCTAGAAGAGGCAAGACTTCAGTCTTGCCTCTTCTATCGCAGTTATTTCTTGCATTTGATTCAATTGAAAGAGTTGCAAACCTTTGTGGCATTTGGTGAGTTTAAATGTTTTTTCTTTGCAGACCAACACCTTCCAGTGTATCTTGACAACAGATGGAGAGCGTTCCTTCGCCCTCCTGCGATTCGGGGAGATGAAATGGGGCCCCGGGCTGAGGAAGCATCACGATGCTCTTATTGGCTACACAGACGGAAAAACCGAGTTCAAGGAGACAACCAAACCTCCAGGAAACCTTTTTGGGCACGCAGGCAGATATAGACCCAATGAAGTTATGGGAACACTGGGGATTCCCGGCCAGCTGGTGTATGATTTAACTGGACCATTAGGGTCGGATCCAGATGCTGGGATCAAATGCCAGGGGTGGTCGAAGGAGGAGCCGGACCCGGCCGTGTGGACGGTGGGGCTGACCTCCTGTCCCTGCACCCGGATGCAGGCTTTGGAGGACCTGGCGCTCCTGCTGGACCTCTCCGACCCGAGTGAGACGGTCCAGAAGCGGTGGGCGGGCGCCTCTGGGCAAGTATTCAGGTCGCTCCTGTCCAACCGGTATGGCGCCGGAAAGAGGTGCGTGTACGAGCCGGAAGGCGCCCTGCTGGCTGGGTTCAACGAGCGCTACTTCTACGGACACAGCACTCAGAAACACGTCGGTAAGACACTCAGCTGGTTGAAAAAGTGGAGTACAGATAACGGATGATATGTTGTTCTATTGGTAAATTTCACCATAAAGTAAAACAATATTTTATTGCAGGAACATAGTGACACAGAGAAATTTAACCTCTTATTTAGCGCATCCATTCATTCAGTGACGAAAAAAATCCAACGTTAATTGGGATCTTTTCTGTAAATTTCACTTCCATTTGAGTTTCTACTGTTAGAAACAAACCCACCCAGCAGTTTTCTGTGAATAAGCTCATGTTTTTTGGTGTCTGGAAAATGAACCTTTCCAAAAACCTTCTGATAATTAAGTCATAATTGGTAGGCGCTGTCCCGTTACCTAGCAAGAGCAGCAGGAATACAACAACAACCGAGCCTCTTTACTTAGAGTCAGTCACATGGTTTTAACGCTGCACAATGGCTGCTGGAAAAGACAAGTGTTTTGACATATCATCCAGAAACCACTCGTTGCATTTTGTTTGCTTGTGCAGGAGGCTCCACTAATGCTCTTCAAAGATATTGTACAAATGAGTTTGCAGCAATTTACTTTGAGGCCAGCAGCAGCTCATTTGGATTTAGTGACAAGACACCCTTAAATAACTCAAATCAGAACTGAGCAGACTGAAATCTCATTATCTAAGGACGATTTGAGGCAAAAACTGTAATGAACATGTTTCATATAGACAACACAAAACATTTGTTCTTGCTTTCCTCAAGGCTGATTTTCTCCCTGCTGTTTAGAGATAAATTGAATCATAGAGTTTTATGGTGTTTTCTTACTGCAAGAGTTGGCTTTAGATTTGGAGAGCTAGCTCTGTGAAAATAACAGAATATATTGTTGTTTGGTTAAAATCTGCAGACATCTCGTCTGATCATCCAGCTAGAACTGAGCATCTTGAAGAGACATCATTTCACCAAATGTTTCCTTGCAGACGGGGATCTCCTCCCGTTTCAGTGGTGTTGCATCGACTCTCCCCAGTGCCATCTCTACCTCAGAAAGAGACCTTTGGATCGCTGTCAAGGTTACGTCTCCAGCGGCTCCAGCGGGGCAGCGCGGGGCACCGGTGAGAAATCCCCAGAAAAAAGTTTAAAACAAGCAAATTATCTGGTTTGTAGTCTTATTTTAAAAGTGGAAACCAATATTTCCCTACAGCGTTGGTGTACGGAGGTCTGCATTTCATCACCTTCGATGGGGCAGAGTACTCGTTTAAGGCCCTGGGGGAGTTTGTGATATTACGTCTCTCATCTGCAAGCGGCTCTAATATCTTCACCCTACAAGGACAGATTGAAAAGCTGCAGACAGTCGCAAGTGGGATCATTGACGTCCCAGTGATGGTGCGCATGGCCGCCTTCCACCAAGGCATCGGCAAGGTCAGCATGGGAACAACGGCAACGCTCACAGTTTGGAAAAGTCATGTTGACCTCTGAGAATAATCCTTTTAACTCAGATTAAATCAGATTATTCAAACCTATTGGAGTTCAGGCAAAGTTTTATGTGATGGACCAACACAAAGTAGTGCATCACTGAAAAGTAGAATAAATAAAAAAACATGATTTTCACATAATTTGGACTAATTAAACGTGACAGTTTTGTTCAGCCACCAACTTTTACTGAATTTCTATCTTTAAAACTTTTATACTAGTAAAGCAAGACAAACTTGTACCTGCACCTTTAACTAGTTTGAATCTTTATCCGTTATCATCAGATTGAGTGGAGATGCTCTGACAAAGAGAGCGGACTGCGGATTTTTGTGGATGATGCTGAATTCTCAGTCAGAATCGGTAACATGCATCACACACTTTCGATGTGCATGACTGAAATATAATTTGCAGATCTTGAGGCGAACATCTCGTGCCTCTACCTGTCCTTCCAGGTGTCGTGTATGAGAACAAGCAGAGCTTTGCGGTGCGCTGTCTCTCGGTGAACCGCTGCGCAGCGGTCTACGCCAGCGGCCTCAGAGTGGTCGTCTGGCGAAGCGAAGGATATCGTCAGCTGGCGGCCATGGTGGAAGTCCCGGAGAACTTCTACAAACGCACCGTGGGTCTGATGGGACTCTGGAGCGCCAACCGGTCCGATGACTTCCTCATGTCCGACGGGAAGGTCGTCCCCTCCCGGGATCTCAACCCCCCTGAGGAGGAGCGGCTGAAGCTGTTTTGCATGTCCTGTGAGTAAAACATGGACTCAGTTTTCTGACAAAGGATTCCCAGTCCAACCTCAACCCAAACTTATCTGAAGTGAATTTCCAGTCTGAATTAATTTGCCAACACAATGAGCTGCAGCGCCTCTGCTTACCAGTGAATGAACAAAACTGCAACTTCAGGAAGACATTTTATGGCCTGATTGCAGTTTTCTGGCAGATCCTCGATTACCTATCTTTAAAAAGCCGCACCGCAAAAACACAAAATCTTACCAACTGGTTTTGGTCTAATTTCTGGTGCAAGTAAGTTTTGTCTTTTTTCAAGACAAAACTTAGTTTCTGATATCAGATATCTGAGCTTGTTTTCAGTAAATAACTCCTTAATATTGATGAAAAGGTTCCCGTTCCTCTTGCAGATTATTTAACTTATAACAAGACATTTTTCCGATTAATTGATTTACTAATAGAACAAGTACTTTTTTATCAATATTAAGAAATTATTGACTTAAAGCAAGTTTCTATGTCATTCTGAAAAGTTACTTGTAATAAGTTTGTTTTGTTCTATTTCAAGTATAGTAGGATATCTGCAGAACTCGACCAAAACTACTTGGTAAGATTTTGTGTTTTTGCAGTACCTGACCTGCTAATTCTGATTTTGGCCAATGCCAAATATTTTTTGTTTGAAAAGCTGTTCAATAAAGATGTAATGAATATTGTTAAACGTGCAGAGATGACCTGGTTCACAGCAGAGTAAAAGAGGACAGTGGTTGATTTGTTTTTTAGACCTTTGCTCAGGTAGATAAGATCAGCTTCACTTACATGTGAATACTTCTATTAACATGTAAGTATTCTATTCTATTCTATTCTATTCTATTCCATTCTATTCTATTCTATAATAAATCATTTGGTGTTTTTCTTCTTTTTTTTATTTTTTACAAAAGAAGGCAAACTGCAATAGGCACAAGATGTTCTCCTAAACTTCAATGTAACCAGAGGATAAATTCAAATAAATAATCATATAAAGTGTAATTTCTCTTCTAAAATATGTGCATAATTGCTTAGAAGATGATGCAAGCATAAAAGTTCACACAATGATGTTCAGCAATCTGGGAAACCATTTTATTATGGTGATTAACTGTTTACAGTCACATTTTGTAGTAGAAGATGTTTGTTTTACCCTTAACAGTGTTTTAAAAATGTTTTTTGTTGCTCACCGGCTACATTTGCTGGGGCTGAGCCCCCCTTGTCCTTAAACCCTAGTGATGCCCCTGCTGCCCACCCCTATTTTCCAGGGGCGGTCCCGAAACCTGAGAACCTGCTGGTCTCTTTGTCTCAAAACGTCCCTGTGGTTTTGGACTCCACCGCGCCTCTGTTGGAGAACCTCGGTCCTGCTGAGCTGGAAGCGCAGATGAGGCGTTGCAAAAACAGCGTTGCGTGCGTTCAGGACAGCGTGGCGTCCGGCATCCCCGACCTGGGCCAGCAGACTCTGGAGGCCCAGACTCAGTTCAGGAGCCTGGCTCTCCTCTTCGGTACATTTATCTAGCATTTCCAGAACTTGAAGTGCTTCTGCCTGAGCCTAATGCTGTGCGACATGTTTGTGATCCGGCAGGCAACATGCCGCCTGTAGTGACAGAGCCTGCTGTGATACAGACAAAGGTCAACTCTCAGGTCAGCGTTCAAATTGTTGCCCAGGACACAAACGGTGACCCCATCACCTACTCATTGCTCTTCCCCTGGCCTCCAGAGGCTCATGTTGGCAGTGGTGAGACACACACACACACACACACACACGCACACACACACACTCTGCCTCCATCCATCACTGTTAGAGAAGGAATCACTGTTGACATTTGTTAGCTGGACAGAGAGGCCGCTGCTGCTGAGTCACACAGACAGAGAGCCTCTTCCTGCTATGACAACTGCGATGCGTAATTGGTATGTGCGTGACTTTCCTCTTCCCTTCCAGTGAACGGCTTCCTGACATGGACACCGCGCAGCACTCAGCCTCACCAGCTGACTGTCAAGGTCAGTGACGGCCAGACGAGCTCCTTGTTCACCCCCGTCCTGCGAGTCTGCAACTGTCTTAATGGAGGAACCTGCCTGTATGACAGCGTGGCTGAAAATCACCTGCAAGGAAAGTTTCAGGTACAGCATTTTTTTGTGAAGTTTGATTTGTTTTTGCATCGTTGACAATCGCAAAGTTTGCAGGACGATAAATTGCACCCGACGTTTTTTGCGATGAACGATAATATTGTTGTTTGACATTTTGGAAGTAACATAAAAGTAATGGCACATTCTCAGAGATCGTTCTGGAAGACATTTAATTGTCCAAAATAAACAAAACAACAAAATTAATTATGGAGATTCTGTAAGCAAAATTGTACCATCAGCTAATTTGCTTTTGAGATAATACAAATACAAATTTTTGTTTTTGTGTGTCATTATAATCCTAAAAATGGTTCAGAGACAAACCTGAATATTAAACATTCAACAGAATGATAAAAAAAAATCTACTGTTGCCATGGTGATTCCCGCCTCTTTGTTGATTGGAGGAGCTGAATCATTGTGGGCGTGTCCCAATTCAGCATATGTCCTGTAGCCTAGCAAGCATGGCTGCACCAATCACAGGCTTTTTGTTTTTTACTTACTTAATCCTTTTTAATTAGTTAAATTATTTGTTTAAATTAGGCAAAAAGTATATTCAGAAAAATGTTTATGAAAATGACATAAACCTAAAAGCATAACCAGTGTAAGCTTCCAACTTTGTTTTTTTCTTCAGTGAAAGCAAAAATAATCCATTCAGCCTGCAATTAATCTGTTGTTTGGTGGTTTGTTTATTTAGATCCGCCATGTTTCTGTTTTACTTCATTTCAGCCCTTAGTTTGTGACTCTAGTTTGTTTATTTCCTGTGTCTGGTTATGCTTTAGTTTATCTTTGTTCCTTATGTCAGCAAATAAGGACAAAAGGACATTAGTTTTAGTTCTAAAACTAAAGAATCTAAAACATTTTTTAGTTTTAATACCAAAACTAAAGAATCTAAAATATTCTTTAGTTTTAGATTTAGATGTGTTCATTACTTTTCCCATAGGACACTATATAATTTTGTCTTTGTTGAAAATGACACTAAAAATAAGTTAAGCTTAGAATTGTCACAGTTTCTTAATTTGAGAAAAACCACCCAGTGATGTAAAAAATGTCTGTTTTTAAAATTTGCCCTGCCTTAATCTTTTCCTTTTTCATCTTTTCTTAATTTACAGGTAGTTGGGTGCTTGTGCCCGAAGGGATACAGCGGGACGTTCTGTGGAAACACAACAAACGCATGTCGGGGAAAACCGTGTTTCAGAGGGGTGCAGTGCGACCCAAAGTCCGGCCCTGACCAGTTCAGGTGTGGAGACTGTCCTGACAACACCGTCTCTAACAGCAAACAGGGATACAAATGCTTTGAATATGGTCTGTAGTACAAGATATATTGTTTTTAAATCTCACAACCTGAGACCCAATTTCTGTCCTTACCCTTGGTTCCTGGTGTTCCTCCTCAGACATGTGCAGCCCTCCTTTCTCTTTCCCGTGCCACAAGGATGCAGAGTGCCTGTCCACCAAGCTCAGCTACTCCTGCACATGCAAATCTGGCCTCAGTGGAGACGGATACAACTGCACAGGTGCTTAATGTCGTCTCATTGTACAAGTATTTATACTCCATGGCTTTAGACTGCTAAGCTTATTTGTGGTCTGATTTGGAAGTGGAATAATAGTTGCAGTCTTGAGCACTGCAAAACTCAAAATCTTACCAACTATTTTTAGTTTAGTTTTTATGCAAATATCTTATTACACTTCGAATAAAGACAAAACTAACCTCCAGCTAAATTAAATGGGAGTTTAAGTCAATAATTCCTTTGTATTGATGAAAAGCTATTGGCAAATTATTTTGCCAATTATAACATTTTTCTATCTTTTATCTTTGCTGAAAAGTTATTTGCTAATTAGTTTTATGTTATTTGCAGTGTACGGAGACATTTTCATAGAAATTGAACTAAAATACTTGGTAAGATTTTGTGTTTTTGCAGTGTAGGTGGGGAGGTTCTGCTATAGCAGTCTGGATTGCAGTGAATTTGAAGCAGCCTCTGACCGAAGACACGCTGTTGTTGTGTAACAGTCCCATGGAGAGTATAATTAGAGTTGATTAATGAAAAATCCTTCTGAGAAATAATTTCTTCTCCACAGAACACCTGCATTTATTCTGAAATTAAATTACACACAGCTGGACTCTTATTTATTATCAAATTGTTTTTATATTTAGATTGATCAAAGTGAAAGAGACTGACTCTCATTTATTGTGTTTTCTCCTATTTGAGTTGATTTATCACAAAAAATTCCTCTGATACTCAAACATTTGCAGTTGTAATTAGGCCTGTCACAGTAATCAATAAATCAATGAATCGCATGATACATTAAAATAAAGCCAATAATTTCCATTGGCATAATTTATCTTTTTGTACCAGAAAGTGTGTGAATATTTTGAGTCATTGTTGGTCTTTGTGTTGCAGATGTGGATGAATGTGCGACGCTCATGCCGTGTAAGAATGCCAAGTATGAGTGTGTGAACAAGCACGGATCTTACGATTGCAAATGCAGATATGAAGACGGATGTGGTACGTACAATGATAATAACGATAAATTACCAGCAGAACAATTTACTGAACAGACAGCATTGATACTTTGAGAGGATCAGAGATTTAAAAATAATAAAAGTCTTAGTCTTTCTTTGATTAGATCAGTCTTGTTTCTGTTTTACTTCAGTTCAGTCCTTCTTAGTCTGTCCATGTTTGTTTCTCTTCTTTTTTTATTCTAAGTAGTCATATTTCTTATATCTAGTTGTTCTTTAGTGTTAGATTCATTTAAAGAAATGCCACTTTCTCTCTCTCTCTCCTCAGCCTGCAACCCTTTCTTAATCTAATCTAATCTAATCTAATTTGTTCAGTAATGAACCTTCCCATTTCATATGCAACTCATTCTCAGTTCCTCCTGCTAAATCCAGTCAAATCCTGTTATTTCCCGACTTGCTTCTGTTCCTGTTTTTGTTTTCTGCTCTGGCTCCCTGTGCTCCCTGACGTTTTTGTTAGTTTTTCCACTAAAACGTTCAACATGCTCCCAGGTATTTTCTGCATTTTCTTCCATCCACAAACTCACAATTCATGATACAATCTGACATTTTAACCTCCAGAATGAAATAAGTATTTATTCAGGAGTTTATTACAATTCAAAGAAAATATATCACAGTCAGAACCGTCTTTGATTTTTGTTTTGTTTTGTTTTTTATGCAGGTAACTCTATGAATCCTCCAGGTTTGGGCTCCTACCAGCAGTTTCATTACTGTAGCTCTATCTATCTTATAGAGACGTTTGTAAGTTTCTCTAAATTTGTATCTGTTCAGGGTGCAACATGTTCAATTTGTCCATTAACTGGACAAACGAGAGGACGGACGGACGCGAACAGGTGCGCGCTCTGATTTCCTCCCATTGCATTGATAGTTTCTGCTTGATGGCACATTGATGGTTCAATGTTTTCCTCAGCTGAGGGACATTCTGGCCAAAGGTTTCACAAACAAGTTCTACAACATCAGTGAGAAAGTTGCATCCAACTCTGGCATGGAGGAGTACCGGCTGAACGTATCGAGCGACACACCCCACTGGTACATCCGGGACTACCTGGCCCGAGTCAGCAGACACCACGGCATCAACTCAGTGGACGTTGATGGTAAAATAGCTCAAAACATAGTAAACAGCAGAGCTCGGTAGTAGCTGCTTACATTTATTCAATTACATTTGTTTGAGTACGTTTTTTTTAGGAGTAGTTTTACTTCTCTTTACATTTTCTTTTACTTGAGTAATTTTATTATGAAGAAATTCTTCTCATACTTGAGTAAAATCTGTGTGTTATCCACCCACTGAATGAAAAACAAACATGTTTCAACCAAACATCCACCAGACAGACACACCTGCAGTTTTTGTTAAAGTTTTAGCAGTTTTTTTTTTTTATTGAAAGAAACTGATTTAGAAAAAATGTTTTTGCCCGATTTTGTTATTTTTAATTATTTTTGTCAATTTGGTATTTAAAATACCAAAATTTCCTCTTAACCTTATATTTTGCTGATGTACTTTTTAACATTAAATGACTGATAATTAGATCAGTTCCTCAGTGTTGGAGTAGACTTTTTACCTCATACATTTTATTTTTACTTGAGTAGAAATATGGTGAAGTACTGGTATTGGAGAATAATTTTTGGGTTCTCTGCACACATCATAAAAAAAGAAACCATAAAGTTGCACTGCAAAAACACAAAACATTATCAGGTATTTTTGGTCTAGTTTATAGTGAAATATCTTAGTTTTGTCTTATTTCAACTGCCTAGAAAGTAGGCCAAAAGTACTTTTGATTTGCTGCTTCACTTTGATTCTGTAAACAGATTTAGACGAGTGCAAGGCCAAGGAGGCGGAGTGCGGCTTCCCTGCTTTGTGCACCAACACCTACGGAGGCTACATGTGTGTCTGCAATGGCACAACTGTTGTGGACGGAAACCAGTCCTGTATAACCGGTGAGTTTACTGAAATTACACAGAAATTAAAACCTGATGACATGTCAATGAAAATATCACTAAAAAGTTTGTTTATTTCAATAATTCAACTCGCATTGTCCTGGTAAGCAGAATAATGGAGGAGCATTGTCTGCAGGCGGAGTATCGGAAAGAGTAGGAGCTTCTTAAAGAGACAGAGGCCCAATTTTAAGGCGTCAAATTGAAAAGTCTCTTTTAAGTCATGCAGCATTTTTAGAACATCTAAATATGACATAGTTCCCTGATTGTGCTATAAAATGGCAAAAAATAAATAAATAAAATCTAATAATTCATGCAACAGGAGCCCTGACCAAGTATTAAGGTGACATTTTTGTACGTCAACATTTCTATATTACAAACTTTTCTTTATTGGAGAATTCAAAGGGAGGCTAGTCAACTTCCATTTCTTTTAAATCATGTTGGGTTCATTGCTTGACTTTAATTGGCTTCTCAAATTTTGTAAGAAACTGAATTTTGTCATCAGCTGCAAAATCATCAAAGTGAGGATTCTCTAATATGAGTTTGAATTTGCAGTGCTGTTCTGATTTATTAAGCTGCACATGCATTTCACTAATGAAAGAGCACTCCCTGCATTCATTAACATATTGACTGTATGGTTTATCCATTGTTTTCTTTTTCCCCCTCAACCAGCCGAGCGATCAGCGGAGTCTGAGTCGAATATGGACCTCATCCTGGGTTTGGTTCTGGGCATCGGGATTCCTCTGCTCCTGCTGCTGCTTCTGGCTGTTCTGCTCTGCCTCTGCTGCAGCAAGAAGACTGTTACTGGAGAGTGAGTAGCATCAGCAGGATACAGATGTTACAGTTTTTAATTAGGACGCGGAATTCAAAGCAGACTGAAGAAGTGACTTCTGAGGTGCTTTTAAAATAGAAGAGGATTAGAGCCACTGGAAAAAATCATTTGAGTTTTGACTTTAATGTTCTGAGATTAAAAGTGAGAGTTCTAGAAAAAATAAGTCATAATTCTCAAAATAAAAGTCACAGCTCTGACTTATTGTCTTCTGTATTTAATGATCCTGCAGATTCAAAAGAGGTTAGGTTGACTCCAGTTTATGGGAATCCCAATCTGGAACAATCCCTAATTGTTCTCACTATGCAGACAGTAAAAGCAGCACATCAGACTTCAGGCGGTTCCGTTTGTTTCGCTGAGTCGCTTCCAAATCTGCATACCGGCAAACATCCTGCAGCCTGATCGGCCTGGAAAGCTGGCAGTAACGGCGCTCTGAATGTCAAGCGACTGGGATATAAAGCCCGGTTTTGGGTGGGTCAGCAGATCCTGGGCGCGGGGCGGAGATGAGGTTCATGCAGAGCGTTAGAGAATAAACTGCCATAAAGACACACAGATTCGCTGCTGTATTTCAAGGGACAGTCGTCAAATTGGCCTGGCTAGAAGCCGTTCTTCTTCCCAGAAACTAGGAGGCTGTAAATCCCGTCTGCTGCTGCAGCTCCAGCCTCCTCTCATTTAATTTCTCAGTCGGAGGACAAACTGCCCACTCTATTACTATATTAAACTAAACACTTCCTACTAACAGCCTTTGTGCGAGTTATGAAACTTTACTTTTATACCACACAAGATTATTTGAGGAGGCATTGCTTGGTGAAACTGAGCAATAAATGGATGGACAGAAACTGTTTTCTTCTAAGCTGAATAAAATAAAACCATAATTATATGTACTTATAAAACTAGCAAAAGCAGTTCTTACTTTCTTATCTGATTTTATTTGAGTCTGTTCTTTCATTTAGTAACTTTGGATTTTAGTTAAAGCTGTTGTTTACTTTATCTTAGCTGGATTTTCTATTTTTTGATTATTTCTATTGATTTTAAGTTTAAAGAAGTAGCTAAGTATAGCCAGGAGAAAATATGCCTTATTAGTGCATTTCATTGTTTTTCTTTGGTTATAAGTTATTTATTTCACAGTTTGTTTAATTATTTTATCTTAGCTTAGCTTAGCTTAGCCAATAATTCAGATAAATTTTGAGAATGTTTTATTTTCTGTCTAATTAAACTCGCATGTCGTAGCCTAGTTTATAGTAAACTTGTTTTTTGTATTTTTTCTAAGGAAAACCACAGCTTAATTATTTTATCTGGACTTAAATCACCCAAACCTCTCGTGTTTTTCTTATAGAGTCTATTTCAGCTCAGCTTTTCTTTCATTTTAAGTTAGTTTATCGGCTAAACTAACTTAAACAAAGCTTTATATAAGTTTGCATCAACCTCTAACTGTTGGTGTTACTTATCAGCATAGCTTTCGTTTAATTAATCTTATCATAATTTGTTGTTATATTTTGTTTATACATGCCTATCTTAAGTTGTATATTTTAATTGAAATCTTATTGTATAATTGGAAACAAATTGAGAATTTTTTCCTTCTTCAGTTTAAAAACTGCTGGAAAGCCTCTTGTATTTTTTCCAGATGCATGACATTGTGTTTTGCAACGTGTCCTTTGCAGCAAAGTGTGCTGCTGTACGTGTGCAGATGTATGGCATCTGGACCAGGTGCTAGAGGGCCGCAGAGATGCCTAATCCCCCTGATGACTGGCCTCCTTTTTCCGCTTTCACTCAAACACACTCCGAGTCCCACAATGCCGTCTGCGGCAGCGTTGTCGGATCACCTTAGATTAGCAGGCAGAAAAATAAAACCCACGGAAATACTAATTCTGTTTTACTTGAAAAAAACAAAACAACAACTGGGGTTCGCTCACATTTTCTGAGAAAGCCGAGACTAAACAGCAACAATCTGATGATGCCTCTGCAAACACTGCATGAAATCATTTCTCAACTTGTGTTGTCTTTGTTTTTTAGTTTATCGTGGGATGATTAAGCAGCAGTCTGTCTGCGTCTCATTATCCAGAGGGACATTCTGCACATATTTGCACAGAGAGCAGTGGTAATAATGCGTCTTAACTGCAAATAAGAAGCATTCAGATGTGAGCTCCATGTTTTTAATCAGCTTTAGCCCCAGATCTCCGTATCTTTCAACTCTCTGGGTATCTAGGCCAGAAGACTCATGAATATGCACGAGTCACTGTTGCTCATCCGAACATTTCCATAAACCATCATAATAATATTATGTGTTGTATGAGAAACGGCAATAAACACAACCAGGACATTCAAACCACATGGAAATATAAGACTTATTATTCAAAGGAGTAGACAGATGACCACAATACAAACAAAACCTTTTTAGCCCAAATTGCAGATATTATTCCCTTCAATTATTCCTGAGCTCAACTCTGCCAAAGTGGCTCAGAGAAAGGTGAATAACATTCTGTGTTTATGTGATTTAAAGGACATTACACCACAATAAATGATTTTAACATTCTTATTTTTCCCTGCACAATTCAAACAACTCATCACAGTCAGTTCAGGATAAAAATCTAAGACAAAACAACAAAAAAACATGTATAAAGTTAAGGTAATGCTTACATGAAGGTAATTTTGGTTCAAATCATTCTTAAGTTCCCACCCAGCATCAGTTGTAGTTCATCTGAATCACCAGAAATAAGTGATGGTGCTTCTTTTAGGATTTTTCTGCCACTTACACTCTTAGGTCATTCAGCTGAACACAGAACCTGTTCAATAGTATCAGTCAGGAGAAGGGTACAAAAAATGCACTGAATAAATTGCTAGTTTCTCTGTAGCTTGGCTTATACTGTGACTTGCAGTCTAGATCAAATTATATATGTTTTTGTCATCTTTATGATGATTTTTAATTTTTTAAATTTTTTTTACTTATGAGGCTTCTAGTCCAGGAAATAAGGTAAATCCAGTTGTCATACAGGCTTTCAAAATGTATGTCATCACACAGTAACAAATAATAAGAGCACAAAATCCAGAGTGAAACCAGGCGGTGGCAGCATCATGCTGCGGGGATTACTTTTGCTCACATGGAACTTTGTTTCAGTTAATGGGGAGGAAAATGGAAACGAATCCAAATACGAATCAATTTTGATTTAAACAAGTCGGCTGTCAACTAGAAAGCTGAGCACGAAGAACGTTTTAATTCTTTATCATTCGATCTGAGTTATGAGACATTCAGAACAACAAAACCCAATGAAAACTTTAGAAAGCAGAATAAGTTCTTACCACTTCAGTCACATGGAGAGGGCAACGGACAAGAGATTTAGAAATCTTCAGCAAACTGGAGTAAATAAATTTACCTGAAGCAACTTGTGGTAAAAAAAAAATAAAACTGTGGTCAGGCTGCTACCTCCTCTCTGAGCTGCTGGTGCCATCTGAAGACATACACAAAAACAACTGTTGATCAACCTTGTGTACTCGCTGCTAAATGTGCTAAAACAACTCACCATTACGGGAAAACTGCTTATCCACATCATGCTAGCAGAGAGACAGTTTCAACAAAAAATATTTTTTATAAGCTGCTCTTAATCTAAAATTGAATAAAAAGTTGTTTCAAACATTATTTTCCACTTACTAAACTAGATTATAATAGTGGGATTTTTTGTGTGTTTTTTTTCACTGTTTGTAATATAGCTAAACTGACCGGAATATGCGCCACATTAAAGGTGGAAACGGTTTATAAATCATTGTTTTGAGATGCACTGTAGGCAGTAAAGTTTACTCCTGGTTCCTGCTCTCTTGCAGCCTCCCCCACCTGATACCAGACTACATCCAGCAGCAGTACAACCCCCCACCCTTCAACTACGCCGATCCGGCCCTGCAGTACATGACCCACTGCAGCCCTCGGGTCCTAGACAACGTCACACCCCGGCAGCGGCCAAGATAGCGACACCCGCGGTTCCTAACAGCAACACAAGCACTTTCCTTGACATAGTACCAGATAATAACGCTGGGGGTGAATGTTATTTATATTTACTTGAACACCCATTTCAAACTGCAAAGCTGAATTATTTTCATTTTCTGATCAACGGTTTTCATTTTGTCTGACCCAGCAGAAGCCGCCGATGTCTTGGCAGGAAGTGTTGATTAAAAGTAAAACACTGCAGTGCTCTTTATCTTCCAGTTAGTGGCTAGCCAGCAGTAGCATTTGTCAGAGTATCAGGTGTCAGATTCATAGGATATATGATTTTAATCTACTGGGATCATTATTCCAATACACCAGTCTATAAAAAGGTGCTACCGATTTCTGGAAACCATTCATACAAACTTCAGTTTCAAACCCTTGAGTTATTGTTTGTAGCTAAATTGCATCCCAGTTCATTTTCCATATCAGATTGTTAGCTGGAAGCTGCACTGCAACTGAAAAAACATGTAAATATCTTGTAAAATATTAATAAAAACTGTTCAAGAAAATGTAACTGTGGAAATCATTTCAAGAACAAACTGCTGATACAGCGTTGAATTAATGCTGACAATTAATTCAATATTAATGTGAGGAGAAAAGTTTCTTCCTGGAAGTTGATGAGCAGCAAAGAGCTTATGCTAAATATTTATCCTTTCAGCCTTAATTAATAATCTTCAAATCATCAAGGCAAACATAAATAAGCTTGTTCACATTCAATGTGAAAGTGATAAATCTGAAAAAGTCAAATATATTTAAATTCAAAATGTTATGAGGCCTATAAAACATAAAACTAACTTATATATTTCATGCAGAACTTGCACATAAATGTGAAGGTATGAATTATGCATTCCACTACAGTGACCTTGATAATTATTGATATCCTCCTTGTAAAATGTATAAAAAGTCTTAAAATAAATTAATCTTTTATTGTAGTAGTATAATCTCGATCTAAAAATCTAATGAAAATCTGATCAATTATCCTTATTGATTGGATTTTTCAACAGTTTGTACATCTCCTCTTCAGTTGATGGCACTTTTTCTGTTTTGTTTTCTAGGTTTCAGACATGAATTTGTCTCAGGTGATGAATTGTTTCAGTGTGGATTTGGTGTCTTGGACATTTCTCTGCTCCGGCTCCCTGCAGCTCCTTGTCTGGTCAGCAGGTGTCGCCGTCGAGTCGCTCTCTTGAGGAACATCAATGAGACTTGTTTATGATTGGGTTTCAGCAGAGAAGCAGCACTCTCGCAGCCTCCGGCCCCACGAGCAGGCGCACACATCTAACGAGGCACCTGCTCTCTCTGCAGCCTGGATCTGAAGTGGCCACAGCATGCGGAGAGCCTGCTGACCCCTGCAGAATGAGATCATCCGAGAGGGGCGCGGGCAGCGCGGCGGCCCTGCAGGTCCCTGCCTCTGCAGAGACAGACGCTCCGGCTGAGGTCAAGGACTGGGGAGCTGGATCTATCTTTTCTTTACTGTTGCTTACTAAAATGTGCATTTTGCACACAAGTAGCATGACACTTTCTCTAGTTCTGTTGCTATAGTTAAAGCTGCAGCATGTAGATTTTATTAAAAAATATTGTATTTTTTGGAAATTGTTAAACTTGTCACCATGTCGTTACAGATAGTTAATTTGTGCTACTATTGACATCTGAAAAAGCAACCAATCAGAGTCAGGAGGAGGGTCTTACCGCTGTCAATCAACCTTGTGAGATGTGCTAATGGAGAAAACAACAAACACATAATCTGGGAAAACAACAAACAGATAATCTGGGAAAAAATCCTCTGCCTTCTTCCAGTGCTAACTAGAAACAACCAATCAGAGAGAGGAGGCGGGTCTTAGCGCTGTCAATCATGTCTGTTCCTGCATGACTGACAACGCATGATCTCTCTGCTATGATACAGCTTCGCTCTGTCAACTCTGTCCTGAATGCTAAGGCCAGTTAGCATGTCCACCAATGACGGTGGATGTTTAGCTTGTTTTCCACAGATTATCTGTCTCATTCGACATAATGACAATGTCTACAAATATGTTTTAGTAAAAGTTACATACTGTGACTTTAAGGAGGGTTTGTGTGAACGAGAAAGTTTCTGGTGACACCTGCGAGTCCTTTCTTGTTCGGTGAGGATGAAATCACCATTAGATTTCTGGAAGCTTCCTAGAAGCAGCTGAAGGCTGCAGTGTTTGAACTCCTGCTCCTCTCTGACTGCAGCAGACAAGCTGGAGGAAAGCCAATGAGGGAAAGGGAGAGCAGGCAAGAAGGACAGTGTTGGATAGTTGGAGAGAGCGACAGGACGAGAAGGAGAAGTGAACAGAGCAACAGCAGGGACTCTGCTTTTTCAGACAGAAATAATAGAGACACACGCAGATCTAGCAACACTTGATGACTTTCTGGCAGACCCAGCAAACAGAAATACATTTGTTAGAAAGGAATGCTCAGCAGTGCATCGTCATAACATGATTGAAAGGGGCTGGGAACTGCAGCAGACGAAAATCCTCTAATCTGATTTAAAGCCATTAATCTTTTCTTAATTTTAGAATTCAAGTCATTTCCTCAGGGACAGGTAGGCCAGTCATATCCTGCTGTTGGACTCTGTGTGGCTAATGGTCTTATTGCCGCTGTAAAAAAGCCTTCCTGCTGACTGGGTACGGTTTGCTGCAGGTCATAAAGTTTTCCATTGGCCATGAAGTAACGTTGTTTGTTTTGAACGCCTGTCATTATCTGGTCAGGGTTTGAGTGAGGAAATAAGTGGCAAAACACTTTGTTTTCTTGCTACACACGACCTAATCTGCACGTAAGCACAAACATTCAACTGTGAAATAAATTGGAACGGCACAGGGAATGACTATTGAACACGTTTACGGAGATTTATTCAATTCTTAGTCCACACAAGTCTGAGCCAGAAGTGATTCGCTCAGTCTATGCAGGCAAGCGCAGCGCAATGCATAGCAGACCCATGGCTTCAAAACCAACAGAAATAAAATATGTAGAAACTCTAGACCAGTGTGTGTTAGAGAAATACATAAACAAAATAGCTGCTCTATGAGAAGAAAATATGTCAGAAAAGCAGCCTCATTTTGTTCATTGATGGCTGTCAGCCAGGAAGTTCATGAAAGTGTGAAGTCACATAAAAACTATGTATATAGTATACATGAAAAAAAACTTCAAGACACCCATTGCATCAAATCAGTCAGTTTGAAAACGATTGTTTTGAGAAAGAAGGATTCCCAAAATCGCTAAGGATTTTGGGAATCCTTAGCGAATCCTCAGCGAGGACAGTGACAGACTCTGCCACTGTCCTGCAACCTTTGGATGCATCCCTGCCCCAACACACCTGAGCCAGATGAATGGCTAATGACCAGGTCTGTGCAGAACTTGCCAACATGCCAAGGAGGTAATTCAGCCTTTTAGTTCAGGCGTGTTAGAGCAGGAATGCATCCAAAAGGTTGCTGGAGAGTGAAACTCGAAGACTCGATTTGCCTTTCTCTGAAGAAAAAAGAGATTTTTCCTTGGCTTTCTTTGAGATTCTCCGTCCATCCAGCCTCCCATCAGCATCATGATGCTTCCACCACCAAACTTCACTGTTGTTTTGTGGTTGGTGTGCAAAGCTATTTTTATCCCATCCTTGTGTAACCTAATCATATTTTCTCACTATTTAATTGGTTCACCCAAATGTTGTCTCAAAGATGTTCAAACATGCTTTTCCTTCAGCAGTAGAGTCTTGTGCAATGAGTGCCATTGTGTTTTCCGACTGTGATGACTCAACGTTTTCATGGAAAAAAACTATTCCAGGAATCTGCAGGGGAATAAACACATGTTATTGACTGGTTTATGTTGAAATAATGCTATTTTTGCCTTCTAAATTAGTGCTCAATATTGTTTACAAATAAATCTATAATTAATTATCATTGTTGAAGCTGTTATTTATGTTTTGTCCTTTCTTGCTCATTGTCATTATACAGACTTTACATTTCAAGAGCAAATAGTTTTGATTTCTTCCTCAGCAGGGATTACCTTGGTTCATCTCACAACCCTGATTAGAAGCATATTTACTGGAAAAAGCAATGATGTGTTCAATACCTATTTTTATGTGGATGAGCACAGCTCCTCCCCCTCAGATCAATCAAACACGCCCTGGAAAGCAAACACATGCAGGGCTGCATGTGCGCTCTGAAACAATGCAAAGGTCTTTTCACTTCTAGCCTGACATGCCCAGGAAAACAGGCAGCAGCCATTGTCTCCTGTGAAAACCGATCCCCTCACCAGGCAGGTGCATTACAAACCCCTCATTCATTAGTAATGCTGACTCTGTATTTTAGTTACACGGGCAAACATCTTCACATATTTGTCACCAGGACTTAATCTCCCTAGGCAACCACAAACTTTTACATTTTTGTTTTGTTTTTGCTTGTAAGCTGCTTTATTTCCATCTGAAATCGTGGATTAGCATCACAACATCCATATTCTGCCCCAGGCTGCAGAAAATTACCTAACCTTTTAATTTCCTGTGAAGGAAACATTGCCAGTTATTGGAGTTATTCCTTCCCACTGTGGCCATGTGCTTCCTAAGAAGGACTAAATGCTGCAAAGCTAGTTACTCAATGCAGGCTTTTCGGCTTACTTACACTGCAAAAACACAAATGTTTACCAAGAAATTTAGGTCTATTATAGTACACTTAAAATAAGACAAAACAAATGTAGGGATTAGTTTTTGCTATAATCTGATTTAAATGTCAACATGAATGGTGACATTTATGTTTGAGTTGCACATTTTCCCTTATAAAAAAAGTTTATTATGATTAGGTAACTATTCTGTATGATAAAGGAGAATGTTTTAACTAAATAATTTCTTAAAATTTATAAAAAAAAAGGAAAATTATTTCACTTATAACATGGGAAAAATATCTTATAAGTGAAATAATCTATCAATGAAGCTGGTCATTTCTCATCATTTGTTGACGTAAATAAGCTTCTATATTTTGATGAAAAGTTACTTGTAAGTTAGTTTAATCTTATGAAATATTTGCACTACAAACTAAACCAAACATATTTGGTAAAATGTTGTGTTACTTTTTATATTTTGAGTTTGTCTGCAGTAACATGTCTACCTATGTGGTTGGTTTATAAATTTCTGCCTTCGGCTCATATTTTTAGTGAATTGGTACCGGATAGAAGAAAAGGAAATGAAAAGTGGAAATCCAGGAAGTAACTTCAACCTTCCCTCAACTAAACTAAAATGACCTTTGAACCCTGTGGCACAGAAATTAAAAATGGCGATCATAAATGGCCGCTGGCTGATAAGCATGAATGATGTGGGACAGCTAATAATCACAGAGCTGATAAGGAGGAAATATGGCAGTAATAGATTCACCAGAATTGGAGACGAATCAGTGCAGGAATAAATTATTACATTGGCATAAAAAATTAGATCCAACATTAATAATACAAATACTACAACGTAATAAATGCTGTACTGGATGTTACATCATACATGTTGGTTTTAAGTTTTATTGACAATTATGTAATGACTCATAGGTTTCCCTTTGGACCAAATTCAAAGACGTAACAATTAAAAAAAAAATAATTTCAATCTTTAAAAACAAAGTTTATGTTTTTCTTTGGTTGAATGGGGGAATTAATTGCACTTGATTAAATGACTGAAGTTTGGTTTTCAGGAGCATGCAAATTTGAGTTTAGCTTTTTTGCACCATGACTCTGGAACAAACTTTCAGAAAACTGCAAAGACTGAAACACTGAGTTCCTTTCATTAAAGCCTTGATTTTAAAAACTCAAGTTTGTTCCAGATTTGTAGTGCAGAAAGTGGATATGAATAAGGAACATTTTCATCCAAAGACAAACAGCAAGACAACTTGGATTTGAGTAAACCAGAAAAGCACCAACGTACTTTGGTCAAATAAGAGCAAACGCTTCATACCAACTGTCAGACATGGTGGTGGAGGGGTTGTGATCTGGGGCTGTTTTACAGTCACTAAATTGACCATAAAACGCCCAATGTGGGTTTCCGAAGGCGAAATGGCTTAAAAAAAAGAATCAAAGTGTTGTAATGGCCTAATCAAAGTCCTGACCTGATTGAAGTGGTCAATGTTGGGCCAAAATCCCTGCTCTACAATGTGATTTGGTTTAACTGTTATGTGTTAAGAAACTTTGCCTGTATTTTGGTGTTTCTGAGGCATTTTCAGGGATCCAAAGGTGAATCCACACACCTCCAGGTAGTCATTTGCACATGCAACAGCTTATCTGGGCCTTGTGACAGATTTAGGCTTTTGTGCCGCCACCTCAGGAATTACATAATTTGTACACTGACATAAATCCCTGCAGCACCAAAACAAATTTAAAAAAAAAAAAGGAATCTAATTTGCTCCAGATTCTGACAGAACCACTTAGGATGGAAAGTCAGTTTTCATATCGGTGTATAAACTATGAGCTTCCCACATGTTCTGCATCTTTTATTTGATTTAAAGTAACTTTATGTCCTTCTGCATCCTTCTGGATATCAGAGCCCATCCACATACAGCAGCAAAATTAGGCCCAGAAATCTGCTGCAACACCTGCAAAAGTTGCAGTTGCTCATAAAAAATAATGCACAGCACAAGCAATCAAAAACTGGAAACTCCTCAGGTCTGACACTGCACAAGTTTTGAAGTGATTAGAAAAGTTTTTCCAGACCTATCAGTAACTTTACAAAGAGAACACAATACAAATATAGCGAGTACAATTAGAAAGCTGTAATAGATGACAATTAAAAGCGGAAAAAGAAAGATAGAAAGATACATGTGGCTAAAAACAGGAAAATCTAAGGCTGGGAAACTATGCAACAAGCTTGTCTGGTGCGCCTCTATGGCACTGACTGGATGTCTGTAGACAAGATGCAGCGGCAGCGCAGACCATGGGAGTGACGCATTGCAGGTACAAACGGACCAATCAGAAAGCGCGATTTCTTTCCTCTACGTTTTGTGCCTAACCACTTCGTAGCAGAAAGTATTCATGCGCTGGTAGTCAGTGCACCGCCGAAACGCGCGGTGATGTCGGGAAACTACATAAGCGCTTCTCCAGAAACAGTACTTTTATAATTAAGGTGTGTTGTCATTTGCCTTTGTATAAAAAGCTGCTGTAAAATGTGATTTTCCAATAGTGGAGCAGCTGAAGATAGAGGAAGTTGGCGGAGTGATACCGCAGAGAAGGAGGGGTTTAGGACAGCCGTTAAAGGCGAGTCCAGTGGTCTCCCTCTCAGTGTGCTCGCAGGGCTGCTCGGTTCTGGTAATAACGGGTCGCGGAGATTCTTTTAGGGTATTTTTAAAGCGGAATTTGTGGTGAAGACGCTGCTGCACCAACGCTAAGATGGTAGGAACAATTACTTTATGCATTTCATTTTCACTGGAGCACTTAATGTTACGTTTATACAGCGTTATTAAGCTGAAAATTAGCGTTATTACTGTTTTTTTTACTTTAAGGCATCTACCTTATAACAGGTGTGCAATGCTGTCAAATAATTAATTGAACGTAACTAGTTTTGTAAGCCGATCCATTAATTAAAACGCAGGATTGCAATGTTTGAGCATCATGGGCGTTGTTTGCTTCTCAGTGCTGCTTCAGTCTAAACTGTACCTCTCAAACGCTCATATTGTTCGATTTAATAACTAAGAAAAAAAATCATCCGCACTTTAATTCTATTCTGTCTCCTTTTATATGAATTGAGTATTTTATTTCGTCGTTTGAAACGGATCTCTGGTTCAGCCGGCACATTACGGTTGCTAGCCAGCTGTAGCTCTTCCTAGCTAGCAGTTACCGCCAAATAATTAGCCGTTTATTGTCTGGCGTGAATGAATGGCCAAAGCGCCTCCGACATCTGGGCTAATGTGCCGAGCAACGTTTCCCATTAGTGCCGCTTCCTGTTATATAATTATCGAAAAGAAAGAAGGGGGAACTGCTTCCGTTTTGAGCAGGGTTTTTTTGTTACAGCAGCCTGCGTAGCAAGCTACACCCACCATCTTTAGAGCTTTATGGGATGTTTATTAGCATCACTGTGATTTTATAATGTTGAATGGCAGCTCAACTCTGCATGGCTTTGACCTTATTCAGCTCTTACGTTATTGACTAGCTTTAGTCAGTCCTGGTTGAAATCTAAATTGATTAGTGATCAACGTTGAGAAAGAGCTAATTAATGTCCTATAAATGCATTGAAATTACCTCTTTTTTCCCCCCTCTTAACTAAACTTTTTATTATTTGGTGTGGTTATGATTTTTTTCCTGTGTAAGTAATGCATAATTCAAATATTGGTCCAAACTAATGCTGTCCAAGTACTCAAAAAGCGTTTAAAATGCATTTTTAACATATTGCAAATGGCAGAAAAACCTGCCTCAATTTAAAAAGAATAAAGAAATATTGCATTTAAACTGCATATTTAGATATGTTGGCTATTGGATGATCTAATTTGGGTCATCTTGTGGCATTTAAAGTGATATTGCCAGTTTTGTTTCTAAACCCATAAGCATAATAAATACTTCACTAATCAATCTGGATTTCACTCTGAAGTTGCAGATCCCGGAGGCTAAAAAAGCCTTTTCTCATTGTGTTTCTGGTTTAGCCGGGTGAGATTGTGTTAATGGTTTCATTTCTGTTTTTCTAGGCTGACCAACTTACAGAAGAGCAAATTGCTGGTAAGACATGCTTCATTGATCTCCCTTCTTCATAACCAGCTACAGTGGCCTCCGTTAAGGACTCGTATTCTAGTGTGGTGGATTTACACTTTTGCCTTTTAAGGCATTCCACAAGGCAGCGTGCCTGTCATAAAACTGGAATGAAAGAAACTGCTGTTGCTTGCTGTCAGAGAATTGCTCAAGGACTCCCTTGCTGAAAACTTTGCATTTCATGGCCGCTGCGTTGTATATGATGTAATCTGGAGGAGCTGTGAGGTGTCGTCACTCAGCTTTACATGCTGGGTACTTTAACCTGGGCGTGCTGGCCTTTATGAACACAGCATTTCTGGTTTATTATATGTGTGATATGCTGACCTGGGACTTTGATGTTGTAAATTATGAGTGGGAGATCTTCCTGCAACTGCTTGTATTTATTCATTGAGTCATGGTTATAACTTCAATGATCTGCATTTTCTGTTGGATGGCTTGCATAAAATTTTGCTGTGTTAAGTTCTTGTATCCAGTAGCAATACTTTGAATCTCTCTATTATCAGTAAACACTATTTTATTGTTGTGCTTGTAGTTTCTGACTCCAGCTTTTTGTTTCCCGTTGGCTTGTCGTTGTTTCTCATCCCTCATGGCTCAGTCCCATCAGTGATATCTTGATGCTGGGTCTCGTGGTTGCTGTTTTAACTCGAAACTCCTCCAGTTGGAAGTGTAAACATCATCGCACGCACGACTTGACCTCATAGCGTTCACAATCACTGCTGCTGTAAGGCTGAAAGGATTCCCTCACCCAAGGTGTTTCCTTTCCTGTCACCAGAGTTCAAGGAGGCCTTCTCGCTCTTCGACAAGGATGGAGACGGCACCATCACCACTAAAGAGCTGGGCACCGTCATGCGCTCTCTGGGCCAGAACCCCACGGAGGCTGAGCTGCAGGACATGATCAATGAAGTCGACGCAGACGGTGAGAATCGCTGTTTTTCTTAAAAACAAAGTTTCCAACTGTTATCAGCTGTTCCTGTAACTCTTCTGTTTTCTGTCTGCGGATCAGGAAACGGAACAATAGACTTCCCAGAATTCCTCACCATGATGGCCAGGAAGATGAAGGACACAGACAGCGAGGAGGAGATCCGAGAAGCATTCCGTGTCTTTGATAAGGTCTGTGTTTGGAGTCCATTTTTATGTAATATAATGCAAGTTTTCACGCTGGAACTGGAAGACATTTTAAATATCCAAAATAAAATAAACAACAGAATCGGTTATGAAGTTTCTAAAGAAAAAGCTGGTTGAGACCAAACTGCAGCTGTTTATCATCCAGTTCCTAGCATAAAGGGAAGTGATAAATCATGAAAATGGAAATGATTTTTTGTTTTGATTAATTGCAACAGGCCTAGTTGATTAAAAAAAAAAAAAAAAAAACGAATCTCTTTCTACCTGACCTGATTTCCAGGATGGAAACGGCTACATCAGTGCTGCTGAGCTGCGCCACGTGATGACGAACCTGGGAGAGAAGCTAACCGACGAGGAAGTGGACGAGATGATCAGAGAAGCAGACATCGATGGAGACGGTCAGGTCAACTATGAAGGTTGGTAGTTGGAATCCCAATCAACCTTTCAGTGTCTTCCAGTGAAACGGGGTGATGAGCTTCAACTCTCCTCTTCCTCCCGCAGAGTTCGTACAAATGATGACGGCGAAGTGAAGGCCTTGTACAGATTTCTATATAAATTTGCCTTTTTTTCTTTGTGTAATTTATCTGTAAAATCTTAATAGCCCCCATTCGTCCCTGCCCCCTTCTGCTGTCCAAAGGAACTGCATGTAAACTGCATAGGCTCTTGTCCCCATGTCCCTTTCTTTTGCTGTCATGGTGTTTTGGAGTGACGGAATGGCGCCCCCTGGAGGCCTCTGGGAGCCGGAGAACTTAGAATCTTCTGTCAAGTGAGCTCGGGGCCCCTCCATACCTGGCGACGATGGAAACCTGTCACCTGGTTGTCGCTTGGCAACACTGTTGGCATGGAAGCAATGTAGAGGAGTCTAAACTCTGCATGGACTTTGGACAAAGTATATAAGGAAATCTCTCAGCATTGCACTACTGCAAAATAATGACACGGGTGTATCTCCTGGGTACTCGTACAAACTCTTTTGTATCTGCTGTTCTATATTGGAAAATGACTAATCTTAACATGCTTTTTGATGTTTTACTCACTACTTTTACTTTCCTTTTCTTTTTCTTTATGTATGGCCGCTGGTCATGCCTCAAACAATCCATTCCAAGTTGTATATTTTTGTTTTCCAATAAAATTTACAATCTACCCATATTTGAAAACTGTCTTGTTTTTGCAGCTTAAAAATGAAACGTTGAGTTTGTTTACCCTGTAATTGCTGTTTTTGTATGAGGACAGAACACCCCAATTTATAAGATTTTACTTTGTTTTCTTTTATAAAATGTTTAAACCCTCCCTGTCAATCTAAAAAACACTGAGGAGCATCAGCTAATGCCTCTTAACGTATTGAGCTCAACTTGGATTTGTTTAGAAATTTCAGGACCTGATGTGCGAACTGGTGCGTCACCAGTCCGCCAGCCGAGTCCCTGCTTCTCCTGGTACTGAGTCAAAGATGGCTGCCTTCTGTCTATCTTGACCTTTGCCCCAGTTTGAGGTGCGGGTGAGGAGTGCACATCAGAAAACAATGTAAATAGAGCTGTTCCTGTCTTTTTTTTTTCTGAGTTTGTTACAGTAGCTTGCAGAGATACTGAAGTTGTTTGAATGATGAAATAAAGCTCTATTGTAGACCTCTCCTGTGTCTGGTTTTTCAGATTTATGCATCTAAAATGTTTTTTACATATTTGAAATGTTTTTAATTTGGTATGAAAAGTCAGCCCTCTTCCCTCCTGATGCTTCCGAGAAGCAACCAATCAGAACCAGGTGACAATGCTACAGCTAGCATAGCCTGTTATGAATGCTAAAGCCAGTTAGCATAGCCACCGATGACGGTGGATAAATGGTTTTCCTGTAATGTAAGTTGTTTTTCTGCCATTAGCACAGTCAGCAGGGTGTCCATGAATCTGACAGTACCAAGACCCACCGCCTGCAGCTGATTGGTTGTTTTTGGTCAGGAGCTGTACATTTATTCAGATTACAATAACAACTCAGGACACACAATATGTATTAATCAATTAAAGGTAAATGTTGTTTACAGACATATCATAATCCCATTTTATGGTCGTAATTAGTTTATATTTCAGTTTTATTTATTGGTTTTGGTTGATTTATTTAGGATATTTCTTCCAGTTCCAGTGCGAAGTGATTTTAAAAAATATAAAGTTCATCAGTGTTGCGGAAGGCGAACTTGCAGTATTATTTTATCATCAATATGTTATTTGAAAATGGTGTAAAAAACCCCCAATCAATATTATCGTTAATCACAATGGTTACTGGGACAATATATTGTACAGGACATTCTAAAGTGAAGCCTGGCGTTGTAACATGGTAGACAAAACAAACAGAGCAGCAGATTAAACAATGCATGCTAAGGCTTTCAAATATATGTGTGTGTGGGTGTTCGTGTGTGTGTGTGTGACAGGGTTTATCTTTATTCCTTGCGGCGGCACATCAACACTTCACCATGTGACAGCAGTGAAGCTCTCCAACACGTAGAGCGTCTCTTTAACTCTCAGTCAGCTCATGAATCATGGCTTGATCGCTGAACCCTTCCCTCTCGTCTCCAACGTGGAGGAGTAATCACCAACCTGCTCTCTTTCTACCTTCCTCTCTCCTCCCGTTGTTGAGCTTTTCCTTTCTCTGTCCTTTTTTTGTGCAGCGACCTGATGTTTCGCTCGACTGTGCAGCAGATCAGCTTTCTCCCTTTACAGTATCTGGTCACCGAGATCGGTTATTAAGACCATTCAGTCTTTCCATCACTCTGAAAAAGCCTTCATTACAATCTACTTTCAATAGGTTTTGATTACAAGCTATGACCTAACGTGGATCTGCCATGCATTCGACCAGGTTATGACAACCGCAGGGGTCAGAGAAAACCGATCCTACAGGCTGCCTGATTGTATTCCCACTTGCGGGCCTATTATGGCGCTGTGCTGGTTGACCAGTCAGCTTTGGCTCGTGTTGCAGAGTGTTGCAGCCTTAGCCTGGTGTCTAAGCTGGTAGCCGATGGATATCTGAGCTGCGCTGGGAGCTGCAGAGTGTTGAGAGAGAAGGAAGGGTGCTAAGAAACCCCGAGGGTGCTATTACTGCAGAGCTGAGAGCAGTTTTCTCTTTAGCTGCGCCATTGCGACATGAGGGATTTTTTTTTTTTTGGTCAAAGGTTAAGCAGTCAAACAAATTCCACAGTGCGGTGAAGTGAAAGTGTTGCTAATTGACTCTTTGGCCTGATGGAAATGGCTCATGTTAAGGTGTTTTAATAGCTTATGGTCAGAAATGTAAATCTTTCAGCTGCTTCCTCAGGCACAAATCTGATTAATGGGTAACTAAAGCACAAATTAATAACAACTGTTTGTACACAGCAAAAATATAAAACTTTACCAAGTTTTGGTCCAATACCTAGTTTAAATATCCTTCTTAACTTGGTATAAGACAGAGCTAACTTAAAAGTAACTTTTCAGATATAGAAGCTTGTTTTAAATCATTTCTTAATATTAATGAAAAAATACTAGTTCCATTGGCAAATTATTTAATTGATATTTAACAGACGGATGTTATAATCGATCTGAGAATAGAATTAGTACTTTTTCATCAATGTTGAGAAATTATCTTGCTAAAAAGTTACTTTTAAGTAACTAAACCGCAATTACATGGTAAGATTTTGTGTTTTTGCAGTGTATTTTGGGGAGAATTTTTATTTTAACTGTTTTGTTCCTTCAAGTCTCTTAAATAGAGCATTAACTAATAATTCTCCACTTTCACATGTTGATAATTAGCTACTTTTACATGCTGCCAAGTAGCTGCTTTAGCTTACATACATAATGAAAAGGAGCTATTTTAGCATGATGATAAATAGTACACTTTAGCAAGCTGATGAGCCATTGTACAATGCTGATAACTGGCTACCTTAGCATGCTGATAAGTAGCTTCTTTAGCATGCTAAGTAGCTTCTTTAGCATGGCGGTAAATAGCTATTTTAGCATGCTGATAAGCTAATGCTAAAATATCTGACCTTTTGTTAATTTACACGTTACTGTTGTCTAAACTAAAGAACAAGGATCTGACAAAACAAAATACAGGTCAAGGTTCAAAAAGCTACCCATCCCACTCAGGAGAACATTTCCACATGCTGCCCCAGTGGAAAATCAGGCCAGGTGCTTCGGCTTGAGCACACTGTCAAAGAGGCTCAAGGATTTTACCACCAACTCCCCTGAAGCATTATCACCTGTGGGAGCAGGTGGGACAGGTGTGGCAGGAGCTGGTAGCTGGGATCACATGGCACATTGAGGTACCAGTCGACCCTCTGAGCGACAGTACAGAGGAGAAAAACGTCGCCCTGTCTCTTTCGGTTAAAATCAGAGAACAACTGGAAATGAAAAGCTGGTCCTGTGTTCAGGGACGGAGGAGGAGAGCGGAGGAGGGGCAGTGCTATTTCTGCTTGGCCCACCGCTGGTGATGACCAGTATGTGTGTTAGTGGGTGAGAGGAAAGGAGAAGTGAAAGACAAAGACAGAGATGGAGAGAGACTTTTGAAAGGCCTATAACAGCCAAAACGGTGAAACATGAGCTTAAAATGCACAAAATACAACTTCTATACTGTGTGTCATTCACAGTAATACAGTTATTAGTCGTATGTTCAAATGCTTAAAATGGGTCTATGGGCTAAAAGACATGTTCATTACATTTTTTACCCCCAAATCATGTTTAGATAATGAGATTTTAGTCTAGTCAGCTGTGTTAGGGCATCTTGTCACTTTAAATCCACATAACCTGCTGGTCACGCCTTCCAACTCAACATTTACACTCGTAGGTGAAAATGGCGGCGAACAGATACGCAATTATTCAACCGTACACCTTTGAAAAGCAAAGTAGAACCTCTTTCACAGTCAACAAGAAAGAAGCGAGTGATTTCTGGATGATAAGTCAACAACAAAAGACTTGTATTTTCCAGCAGCCATTGTACAGCTGTAAAACCAGCTGATCAAACATGCTGGAACTCAGCTTGGGTTGCTAGGTAACGGTCTGGGCATTGCTGAGATGTGACTCGCCATTTGATTAGGCTTTTGGAATGGCTCATTTTCAAAAATCATTTTCTTATTGCCAAAAACCAGGTGGTTGATTTTTTAAAAGCATTTAGGATGTTTTTAGAAGCTGTTGACCCCCAAATTAAAGTACAACAATAGATCATTTAATTTATATAGCACATAAATGTGCAAAAAGTGAATTTTGCATAATGGGTCGATAAAAAACTACAAAACATTCAGATTTTTTCACTTATGGCAACATATTTTTCTATATTATATGTTAAATAATCTGTTTCTGAAACTACTAATTTTTAAAATTGATATTAATGAATTATTTACTGAAAAGAAGCTCCTATGTTTTGGTGAAAAGTTACTTGTAAGTTAATTTTGTCTTATTTAAAGAGCACTCAGATATTTGCCCTTGTGTTTTTGCAGTGTGTGTGTGTGTGTGTGTGGGTGTGTGGGTGTGTGTGTGTGTGTGTTTGGCATGACGACTGGCAGCCAAACTGTCCTGGAAGGCAATGATCCCAGTCTGATTTCACACAAGTGTCATCCCAGATCACCAGCTCTTTTCATGCATTCTGTCCACCAACCGAATGCAAAAAAAGAGGGAAGAGCCTTTTATTACTTGGTCCAGGGTTTATCAGTACGCTCACGAGGGATTTTGTGGTTTGCCACCAACATAATCAGCTGCATTTGTTGTGCACAAATTGCTTTGGTGACGCCAGCCAGGGAAGCAGAAGGATCTTATCTGCTACAAAGGGTACTTCATTCCACTTAACTGCATGTTCTTGGTAATGCTCCCTTCCCTCTTCGTCTTTCCCTCTTTGTTGGCAGCCGGCAACTCTTTCTTCCTACTATCTCGGCCCTGCTATGCACTCAGGAGGAGGAATGCTTGTTCAGCCATGCGTCACATGCACATAGCTTAGCGCGGCATGCTGCTGCACCCTCAGATAACACATTCAGCATGAGGAGGCCAAGGCAGTGGCACACAATAAAACAGCTATTCTTATCGCTACCTACTTCACATGCCTAGCACTTTGTGGTGATGAAACAAAACCAGGGCGGACAACAATCCCAGAAAGAAGAGATTGGAGTCATCGCCGTGCAATCAGGGACAAATGAAACGTTTCCTGTCATTAGAGTGGAGCGTTTATTCAGTGAGCAGGCCTCACAGCGAGCAGAGCGATGCCCAAGAGCAGAAGAATTTTGTGTCGTGGCCAATTTGACAGTTGTTGAGGGAGTGGAGGGTTATATTCATCCCTTCTCTGTCCGCCCGGACTATCAGATCGTATCCCAGGATTAAAGCCCACTCCATCAGGCTTTACTCGAGTGCTTTATTGATTGTAGAGGATAAAACAATAACACCTCTGGCTTTTTTTCCCCCAATAAACGTTATTAACAGATAACAGGTTCTGCAACAGAAAATGAGTGCATTGAGGAAATTTTAGGCCTCATTTAGATTTGTTGCGCCTGGAGTGTCTATTACTTAGAAGCCGCAGAACTTCATTTTTATATAAAAAAATGTTTTTACATATTTGTTGAAATCATCATGATGTGATGAGAAAAAACTAACCTCTTGCTGCCACACTACAAAACTAGATCACCACAACAT